GTGTTTTATTGGGAAGGGAGGTGGGAAAAGCAGTTTCCAAGCCATAGGGTGTGATGGGTGTGACGGGAGGACTGCTGTCCATGGGGCGTGGGTGGCACTCTGCAGCCGTGGGGAGCACGGGAGTCTTTGTTCCTCTGGGCTCTCTGAATCCGGGGCTGCGCAGCTGCTGCGCCACAGGGAAACGCAAGCGAGCCAGGGAAGACAATGGTGAGAAGAATTGGGTTTCTGATCACTGTGCATTTTGTTAATTAGTGAATTCAAATAGTTTTATTTTTACCAAAAACAGATAATCTTTATTCCAGTAAAGACAACTGTTGACTTGAGATATATAAAAATATATATATATTATTTGAATGGTTTATATCCTGTTGCTCTAACTACATAAAATGGAAACATGTTGCAAGTTGTGTCATTTCAATATACAAAATAAATTACTTTTCCCTGCATGCTGCCTGGGTATGTTGTGATTTGAATTAAGAGTTATATTTGAATTGCCTTATTCAAGAGGTTGTATGTTACCTAACTGGGGAATGACCTGGCACTGTTCATCACATTACATGTGTACTTGATGCTGTATTATGTCAAATTCAGATGAGTTGTCTGTCATCTATGTATTTTGTGGGAGATCTTTTATCTTGTTAAACTGTGATATGTAAACCTTCATTGCCTGAAATAGTCACAGTTGTATAAATCAGTGTCTTCAGCTGTTTTCCTAATTTTAACACAATTCCTAACACAAAATATAGATGTTTGTAAATTCTTCATTCATTTGGTCTATTTTTATGTATGAGGCTTTTTTAATCTGGCAAAGCAATAAGATAAGGCAGCTTTCCCGGAATTTTTCAATCAAGGCGCAGCTATATTTCTATCCCTCGGCAAGAGGCAACAACCAATTTTCAGCAGGGACAATTGGCATTCGGGATGTCTGTTTATTGCTATTATCTCTCCTGGCTCGGATGGGCCATTATCACGGCGGAAGGCGATGATTAATGCCGAGACAGCCGTGCGGTGCGGCTCCTGCAGTGGCAGCGCTCCGGGGACCCCCGGCGCTCCGCAGCGCCTTCCTCAGCCCCGCAGCTCCTTCCTCAGCCCCGCAGCGCCTTCCTCAGCCCCGCAGCGCCTTCCTCAGCCCCGCAGCTCCGCGGGGCCCCGGGCTGGCAGGGAGGGAGGGAGGGGAGGGGTCCCTGCAGACCCCCAGGAGCCCATCTCCAGCTGGCAGACTGGAGCATTTCTGGACGTTTCCATGCCTAAAACCCCCAGTACAGCAGTGGTTGGGATCATTAAAACACTCCTGCCAGAGTCAGTCGCGGTCCCTGCTCAGCTGTGCGAGTGCCACATCGTCCCGAGCACGAGCAGCAGAGGTGGCTCGGGCACACGGGCCAGAGATGGCACACGGGCCAGAGATGGTCTCAGCCCCACCGCGCTCTCCCCACTCTTCCAGTCTGGACCGCAGTTGCACAGGAAACGCTGCTCGCTGTTTATGTCTAGTAACCATAAGAAACACATGGCCAAAGGAAAAAAAAAGTCCTGGAGCAGGACAAGCTGTGGTCCTGGGTTATTGAATCTCGATCCAGGGCTTCGAGTGCTAAAAAATTCCCATCCCATCCACAAATGTACCATCTCTTTTTTTCTTTTTCTCCCTTTACTTTTGGCATGCTTCGGGTTGGAAGGCTGTCAAAAGGGACAAATGCGCTTGGAAGGGCTGGCGGAGTATGGGGAGGAGCCTGCCAGAGGCAGCGCGGAGCGGCAGCCCGCGAACGACACAGAGAACTGCGGGAAACAGGTTTGCTAGAGAGGAGTGTGCGGTAGAAATTCCAGTTTTTGCTGCAGCCCCCCGGGGGCTCCCAGCATGACCCCAAGGATGTCTCCGGCGGCGGCCGACACCCGCAGCGCGGCTCAGGGCGGGGAGCGGCTGTGGCGGGGCCTGCGAGGAGGCGTGGTCCCGCCCCTAAGCCCCGCCTATCGCGTCCCATTGGCTGCCGTCGCCCCCGCCCCTGCCGCCATTGGCTGGTGCGCGGGCGGGTTTCCCGCGCGCGCGGCCGGGCGCGATGGCGGCGGAGCGGGGCATGGAGATGGTGCGGGAGCTGCACCGCGCCGCCGGCGGGCACCTCCCGCCCTTCCGGGTGAGCACCGGGAACACCGGGAACACCGGGGTGGGCCTCGCCGGCGGCCCGCGCTCACTGACTGTGCCCGCTGTTGCAGACGGAGGAGATGCGGCAGGCGCTGGAGGAGATGCGGGCGCTGTACGAGCGGAACCAGGCGGATGTGTGAGTTGCGCGCCTGCTCCCGGCGCGTCCCGCACGGCACGGGCGGCGCTCCCCGGCCCGCAGCTCTCCTCCTACTCCTCTTTCTCCCTCCCCTCATCCCCCAGGTCCGAAGCGAAGGCGGGACGGACGGACCTGATTTTCCTCATCCGGTTCCGGCACTGCTGCCTGCTCCGGAACCAGCGCTGCCTCCTGGCCTACCTGTGAGTGCGGCGGGGACGGCCGCTCCCCTGGGTCCATCCCTGCCGGCACAGCGTCCCCAGGGGAAGGGTGTCGGGACTCTCGGCCCGGGCAGGTGGCTTTTCCACGGGCAGCAAGGCAGCTGTGGAGCTGGTTCTCCTTGTGTTCGTTGCTGATACCACCGCAAAGAGAAGGCTCTGCTTCCTCCTGCTCTTTAAAAGTTTAGATTAGTGGATGTCACTGCTGTGGCCTGGGGATGTTGCCAGCACTCACCTCAGCAGAGGTGTTGGGTTTGCCCCATTTCTTCCCCTAGGTATGACCGGTTGCTACGGATCCGAGCACTGAGGTGGGAGTATGGCAGCGTTCTGCCCAGCACCATCCAGTTCCACATGTCAGCTGAGGAAGTGAGTCAGCCTCGTTTCAAACTCTTCCCCTCTTCCCACATATTCCTCCTGATGGATTATTTAGTACAATCAAAATAGGGTAGTCTTCCCCTCGCTATAAACATGACATTTAACCTGTCTTTCTGTAAATACTTACTTGTGTGTATTCATTGTCTGTGGGTACAACCCTGTTAATGCCCACAGGTGGAGTGGTTCAATCGGTACAAAAAGTCTCTGGCTACCTACATGAGGTCAGTAGGAGGAGAGGAGGGGCTGGACCTCACACAGGACATCAAACCTCCTAAAAGCTTGTACATTGAAGTAAGTGCAAGATTTCTGGCTTCTATCCGTGAATAAACATTTCCATGACTATCTCTTTCTGAGCATTTCATCCCCACCCCAAGTCAGTTCATCAAGCAAAACCTTTCAGAGTTCCAGAGCTTTCATAGGTTTCTGTGTTTTACTCTGCCTGCCAGCATTTTACTCCTACTAAGAGCACAAAGTATGTTGAGAGATGGCACTTCCAGTCTGCAGGGAGTTTGTGGTGGGGCAGGTTATCCAGTTTGCAGCTTTTTGCAGAAACTTAACTAACCAGACCAACTAGAAACCACATTCCCATGCCAAGGACTGTTACCTGGAGGGGCTGGTTTTCATTGGACTCTTAGAGAGCTTTGTTTCCACTTTGCAGGTGCGGTGTTTAAAAGACCATGGAGAGTTTGAGATTGATGATGGCACTACCATCCTGTTGAAGAAGAACAGCCAGGTACCTGTGGCAGGAGTGTGGTCTGTTCTCGTCCTTCCCTTTCACTCCCATGACATTCCCCTGCTTATGCTGGCCTTGCAGCATGTCCCAGTCCCTGCACACACAGCTCCTTGCATTTGCTGTCTGCTTGGTCCTGAGTGCAGCTCTGCCTGATGTGGTGCCACGAGGCTCTGGATGTACAGCACAACAAACGGAGCTGGTTGTGTGCAGCAACAAATTCAAGAATGGTTTTTCTGTGTTTCTGTGCAGCACTTTTTACCCCGCTGGAAATGTGAGCAGTTGATCAGACAAGGAATCCTGGAGCACGTTCTGTCCTAAGTGTGCAGGACAAGAGGGACAGCTCCTGCTTGGTGACCTGCCCACCATGGGGACTGAGCTCTGGTGTGTGCAGGACTTCAGACAACTCAGTATTTCTGCAGTGGCACTTCGCCACTCCTCCTAACAGCCTTTGATGCCTTAAAACCACAGCTCTTCATGAGCAAAGGGTGCAAGCTGGTAATAGAGCAATCCTGGGGCTCCAGGATAGTGGAGGGGCATTATCCCAGCCCCACAGCTACACCCAGGGTTTGTGAATGCATTTTTGTTTGGAGTAGTTCTTTGTTCACACTGTGCATGTAAGACACCAACTGGCTGTGTTCTAGAAGCAAGGAAAACTTCATGGTTGCAAAATAAAGAACTCCTTCAGCCTCAGTCTCCTGGTTTTTTAAGAGTTAATGTGGTGTTCATTCAGCACTGTGATCTGGCTCTCCAGCCAAACCCATCCTGACCCTGCAGTGTGATGGTTATTTAAGTATCTCAGTGGAACTCAGATAAGGCTGCACAAGATTCTTTCCAGGATTACACAGGAAGCCTTGTCCCCATCAGAGACCCATAAATGTTGTTTCTTGAGGTGCTGTGTGAATGATCATTGCAGTCTGGGTTGTAGGCCTGGGTTTTTCCCAGTGTGCTTGGCCTGTGCCTCTGTTCCTGTGAAGAATCTCTTATCCCAGAGCACTGGTCTGGCAGTTTGGGGTGGGAAAGAGAGGAGAGAGTTTTAAGGATTCTGGTTAGCACAAAACCAGAACAAAGCTGAAGAGCTGCTTTCCCTGTCTGGTTTTCCTAATGGAGCTCCTCAGCTCTTGCACTGTCTGGGAAAACACTTGCAAGAACATCAGCCCTAGGTAAGACTAGAGGTTTGCTTAGCCCCCATCTCAGACTGGAGCTGAAAAAGCAAACAGCTGGGGAAGAATGCAGGAACAGGATAAATGCCTGGGGCATTACAGCATTGCTCTGTCCTGCTCACTGCCGAGGCAACAATCTGGTTGGTTTTGGATCCTCGGCTCAGGCTGTAGGAGGAGCTGTTGGGAATAAATGTTCAGAGCAGTTGGGGAAGGTGACTGAAATACAGAGCAGACTGGGAACAGCAGGAGGTGCTGTAACATTATAAACTTTTTAATGCCACAACTCAGCTTTCTTTCCTGCTTGGAGTGACCAAGCACAGGGTCCTGCAAGCCTTTCTGCCCTGGCTTTCGAGCTGTAACTGTGGCTCCAACATCGACCTTCTGCAGAGAGGGAGCACCTGCACCACTACCAAACACTGCCAAAGAAAATCCTGTGAGCTGGCTGCCCTGAGACACATGACATAACAGCACACTGCCATTGAGAAAGGCACCAAGGCTGCTGCTTTCAGTTGGAAAATTCAGCTATCCACAAGACCAGTTTCCTCAAAGGACTCTTGGCTTCCCATTTGGTATTTTCTGCACAGGAAAATCCTGGCAAGACCAGAGAGGACAAGGCTGATTTCCCAACCGTGCCATATCTCCCATTCTGCACCTGACCAGCCCCAGCCAGGACCAGGGGCTGCCACTGCAGATGTCCCATCACCCATTCAGAGATGCTGGTGTGATTTTTCCAATAAGCTGCTTCAGAGCTGAGGCTTGTTCCTCCAACAGCTGGTTCTTCTCCTCCATGCTCTTCTGCTTCAGCTCAGCAGCCTGCAGGGCCATTGCAAACCTCCTGTTTTCTCCATGGAGCTCTTCAATCAATAGTTTGTTCCTGGAGAGTTGGGCCTAAAGCAGAGACAGGAGGCTTCAGGTTGCAACATCCCCTGCAGGGGTACCAGATAGGCAGGGACACACAGCACCAGCCCCTCTGGCACTCACCTGGGCATCTCCGAGCTGAGCTGCCCTCTCTGCCAGCACAGCTTCAGCATTCCTCAGACTCTGTTCCAGCCCCTCTGCCTGCTCCACAGCTGCCTGCAGCAGCTGCTCGTGTTCCTCCTGCAGTGGGCAAGAAAGTCTATCTGTGGGTTGTCCCAGCACTCTCCTGGCTTCTGGCAACCCTGGACTGTACATTTCCCCAAGGCCCTGTTCATGGACCCTCATGCTCATTGAGGCACAGCAGGGGGGTTCCTCAGAGGTGCAGGATACAAAGAGCAGTGGGACAGATGTCTAGAGCAGTACAACCTTCCCTAGGTCTGCACCCAACCAGTTTTAGGACAAGGCACAGATTTTCCAGCAGTGTTTTCTATAAAAAGAAGCCATTGGCCTCCCCTCTCCCAGCCATGTCCAGGAGAGCTCAGGGAGAGACAAAGTCTCCTTGGATGCAGTCCTTGTGCCTGATCATTATAATTCCTTAGGTCCTATCTTTTTTGACCTATCTTTGTCCTATCTTTGCCCAGAAGACAAACTCACAAAAACCCAACACCTGGTTGCTCAGTGCCCTAGAGGTAAATCCACCTGTTTGAGTGCAGGCTGGTGACTAAAGGATTCATGAAGAATTAAAGTTGCAGCTGAATTTGAAGGCAAGTGCATTTTCCATGTGGGTTCTTCAGATCTACCATCTCCCACCCACACCTCTGGTGGCTTCAGTCACAGCTGCCTTACAGGTTGCCAGGACAGCAGTGTTCCCTTCTCAGTACCCTTGACTGAGCTTCTGACTGAGCTCCCTGCTTACCTGGGTCCTGACCAGCTGCCTGCATGTTTGCTCAGCCTGCAGCTGGAGGCTTTCCTTGAGCTGCTGAGTCTTGCACTGTTCCTCTCTCAAGGTGTTTTGCAGCTGCTCAAACTGTTTCTTTGGCACCATGTTGTTTATCTGGGCCTTGGCCTGCTGCAACTGCAGAGCGTGCTGGGCCTGGGTCAGGCTCAGGCTGGCTTTGGCTTCCAAAAGCTGTAACACAGAAAGGTTGTCAGCTGGTTACAGCTTTGAGCCAACAATAGGACAGGCCCAAGCTGTGTTTTGGGGGAGAGGAGAGCCTTCAGCTCTCACCCCAGCACAGGCACAGCAGAGCTGCAGGACCACAGCAGTGGTGCTCACTGGGCAGCCTGCAAAGCAAGGGAGTGAGAGAGCTGCAGGAGGAGACACAGAGACCCCTTGCTGAGAGATGCTCCCCTTGCTGAGTAGTGAGGAGCAGGAGTTGCTGGAGGGATTGTCTGGGAGGGAGTCCCAGGACCAAGGGCCACAAGAGCAAGAGACAGAGAGGGCTGCTGACTTGGGTTCTTGAATACATCCCAGGCTAGCTGTGATGTACTCAATGTCCTGTACTACATGTCCTCTGCTTCCTGTCACCAGCAAAGGGCAAAACTGGTAATGAGAAGCAGATCTGGTCCAACTTTGCATTAGGGCTGCCTAGGGATGGCTGGCATGGGTAAGCTGTACTTTGGAAAGCCAGTCCTCAGGGCAGAATGCAGGAGAGGAATATTAACACATTGGAAGGTTTCTCACATTGGCTTTCCTCCCTCTGTCCTGGTGATCCACATTAATATGCTCTGACCACCTCATTTCCCATCCCTCAACAAGCCCTGTCTGGCTGCTGTCACCCCTTCCCAATCCTTATCCAACTCTACCACTGCTCCAGCTCCTCTGTCAGCTGAGCCATGGGGAACCACAGCTCCTGGCACCCCTGTGTGAGTCACCTCCACTCAGCCCCCATCCCCTCTGCCCAGCCAGCCTGCACAGGACAAGGACAGTGGGTATCACAGGGACAAGCAAGCAAGGACCTCTCCCCAGCTGCACCTGAACTGGCTTCAGCCGTATCTGAGCAGGAGGGAGAATCCTTTGTCCCCCACAAAGAGAAAGAGGACATCTTTTATCTGCCCAGGGAGGGTGTCCAGCACAGCCCCAGGCAGGACAATACCAAGATCACAGAGTACACTCAGCAGCCTGCTATTGAATGAAGGACACTCACCTTTTCCTGCGAGGCCTGGAGCTGCTGTTGGAGCAGCTCCATCTCCATCCAGCATGCTGCATGCCTCTGGTGGTGCTCCAGCCCTGCAGCAGTCTCTGCCCCTCGTAGCCACTCAGCCTCCAGAAGGCTCTGGCTCTGCAGCTGGGCAGTGCCAGGGCCATCGCTGTGACCAGCCTTGTGCTCAGGGGGTTCACAGCCCAGCTGAGGCCTCTTGACATCTGGGTGAGAGAGCTCCTCCTTGCCCTTATCACTCTGGAAAAGGTGGAGAAAAGACACAACAAATCATGCACAGGAAGCTTGGGGTGGGAACACAGGAAACAAAGACTGACTGAGCCATGTGGGTTTGAGACTGGGAGTGAGACAAATCTCAGGGAGAAAGAGTGAAAGTAGTGAAAGTTCATTAAGTCATTAAAGACTTTCCCCTTCTGTAAGACTTTCAATGTCACACAAGTTTTCACTTCTTTACAAGTTAAAAGATGAAGCTGGTTCTTCAAAGGAAGACTAGGTTTGAATGTTTGAAACAAAGATTTTTGCTCTTCTCTATGAACATGTGCAGTTTTTGTCCTTCTAAATCCTTCAGCCAAGAGTCTGGCAGTTAGGGTTAATGGCTTCTTACCAAAGCTGTTAACTCTGCTATTTCAGCCAGCTCCTCCAGCTTCTCTCTACCCAATTCACTCCCGTTTTTCCTGCTGGGAAGAGGGATAGGATCAGCTTCAGACCACAGAGCAGCAAAGCACAGCCCCTCAGAGGAGAGCCCTGTTTTGGTTAGTCCCACATCTGGGTTTGGCCTGCAACATGAAGCAAAGCCAAGCCAAAACAGATATGGCCCTGACTTGATGCAGGAGTGAGTCAGGGGCCTGTGCCCCAGCAGGTGACTCAGCTCAGCCCAGCCCAGGGCAGACAGCGTGGGGACATCCAAAGTCCTGCAAAGCTGTCAGAGACCTACAACCAAGGAGTGAAGAACAATGGGAGGGACAGTTTAGCAGACTGGGATCATCCACACCAGAAACCTGTCTCTCCCCAGATTTATGGCTCAGTGGGTGACCCCAGTACCTATCTACAGCTTCCTAAGGAAGAAATCCATCCCATGTTAACTCTTCAGCAAGCTATTCTCCAGCAGCCAGCACAGGTCTCCTGTGCAGGGAGACAGCAGAGTGAGAAAACCATGCACAAGCCCCATTTACTCTGGCATTCTGTGCTGGCTCCCTGATCTCTTCCAATTTGGTTTTCAATGGCAGCTAAGGACTGAGGAAAACTGAGAAAAAACCTTCCCATAACTCAGGCAAAACATGTGAGGACAATCAAGAGACAAGAGTAGAGACGGAGCAGGTCTTCAAGGGAAGGGAAATAAAAGGGGAATGAGGACAAAGAGCATCAGACTGAATTTATGTGGCTTCCAGCTGGCTGAAATTATTTGGCAGTCCTGTGGATACAAGTGATTTGACTCATCAAGACACACCAAGACTTCATTACAGCGTAACAGGTGGTGAGGCCAACCCCTCAACTGAAATAAAGCAGGAGAAATCAGCTTGTTTGTGAGGCCTCTGTGATTTTACAGTGCTGGACACAAAGCTGTGACCCCAGATCCAAGGTGGCATCATTATTCTTCCACTTCTGTTGGTACTCCCAGTCTCCCAGGAGGCCATGAATACTGGCACTTGTGGGAATGAAGCTTAGTCCTGTGTTGGACAGTCCTATCCAACAACTGCTGCTAAACACCCGAGCCATATAGGACCCAAATTCCTCAAGGGAGGGCACAGGATAACAGACCATCCATCCTGGCAGGGAGGGCAGCACTGCAGTGTGGCAGTGCCTGTGGCACGCAGTGGAGCTGTGTGAGGAAGTTCTTCCTCTCTTCTTGAAGCACAAGGACTAGTCCATGGGCTACATGGTGTTTGCTCACCTCAGTGCAGCTGCTTTTGGGAGTTTTACATTGAATTCACATGCTGTGCTTCCTGTGGCATCTCCAACATCCATGTCCAAGGCAGAGGAGATGAGTGAGCAGTCAGCCACAGCCACAGAAGCTCATCCCAGCTCCCTGACCACACTCCCATCATCAGTAAAAGACATATTATAGCTTTTGCATTTGTCTGCATGTGCTCAGTAATGTTTTTTAATAGGAAGTATCCTAGTTCATAGTCCACTTCATGAGAGCAGCAGAACAAAGCTGCTGTTGGAATATCCAAGAGAACACAGCTGCTGTTACAGCCTTCAGCACCATCATGGTGTTAAGCAGCCTTGTGTCTCACAAGGCATCCGCTTTTTCTTTGCAGCAGCATGCTGGATCTTCAAACTACCTTTGCACTCAAACCTGACACTCTCTTGAGCTCTGGGTTCATTTTCCAAGTACTGCATGACACCTTTGAGCTGCATCAGCTCGAGTTTCAACCTGTTCCTCTTCCTCTTCAGCTCTGTATTGACAGCCTGAATGTCAGGTTTCCTCCTATGCTGTTACACCACTGTCTCACAGAGCTTTCTTCCTTCTCTTCTTGCCCTGCAGGTCAGGTCTGTGTTCTGAGATGTTTGCTCTTTGAAGGCATTTAACTCTGCCTCCTTCCCAAGCACATCCTCTTGTCTATCAAGATTCCATTTCTCCCTGACAAATGCTTTCCACTTTGCCTCCAGCTTCTAGAGTGAACAGGCCATTTGTTACAACAAACATCTGCACTGTTTGTACTTGTGTGTCCATCATACAATTGTTCATTTCCTCTCTGTTCCTTCAGTGTTGAAATTGCAACAGAAGATTTTGGACTACCTGCTCATCTGAGTCTTGGAGGATCAGTTCACTTTCCCCCAGAGAACAGCTCTTCAGACTCCTTGTCGCTTCCAACAGCAGAGCCCTCAGCTTCACTGAATCTGCAGGATGTGGGGGTGAGAAGCTGCTGCTCCCCACAACTCCCCTGTGAACACCAGAAACTCCAGGATTTGATGTGCACAAAGGCAGGACTATCAAGCAGGCAGAAGATCTGTAGGCAGCTTTGTGCTCCTTGAACTGTTCTGTCACCTATGTGGCAGTTTAGGATTTTCTCTTGCAGTGCTGCAGCACAAAACCCAGCAAGCACCACTGACCTCTCAGTTCAGCAGCAAAAGGAGTAAATGTGGAAACTGAGTAAATGTGGAAACATGAGCATTCACAGCTGTCTGAAGAGGAGGCTGGGCTCACACTGTCACCTCAGAGCAGGCAGGTTAGAAGTGTGCTGCAAGCCAAGGGTGACAGGCTCTGATACATCCCCTACCATCAGGAAACACCTGGCTGCTTCTCCTCTTGGTCCTGTGCCTGGTTTTACTGTGACAACACTGAGTGATCTCCCACATTTCACAAGGTGACAGTGATTTCCACAGAGCCTTTGCCAGCCAGTGAGGCAAAGGCTCCAAACCCTCCAACCAAGACAAGCTGGAGAAGCACAGGAAGTAGCCCCACAAGAGAGACGAGGCACCACCCTGCTCCCTGGCATGAACTCTCTCTCCAGCAACCCTACAGGAGCAGATGTCTCATCAGTCACACTGTAGCAGCTGTGCTTACCAAGCCATGACGACATCTCCCCCCACCCCACTCACCTTGGTTTCCAGCTGCACCTTCAGGTCCTGCAGCTGCTCTTGGAGCTGCTCCACTGGGAGTGACATTTCTGTAAACACAAAAGTAGGAACAAGAAGTCTTGGAGAGGGGTACGATGGCAGAGAGGAGCCCTGTGAGGGGAGGCCTACAAGACAGGACCGATCAGGATGGCTGCAGCTTCATCCAGTCCATAAGGGATTTGGTAGTTGCTTACCACCCCAAAAGATGAACATTCCCCATCTATCTGGCAACCTGTCCCAGGGCTGCATTACCCCTCTTGACCAGAAGCTTTTATCTAATGCTCAACTTGAATTTTCCAACCCACAGTTTGGGGCTACTTCCTCTGTATTGCATTGTTTCCTCAGCATCTTCAACACTGAAAATCTGCCAGTTCACCCACAGCTGCCTAGTTCACAGGTTCCAGCAGCAGCTCTCAAGTTGGAAAACCCTCCTCTCCTCCATCTCCCTCCTCCCCACCACCCATCTTCTCCTTCTTCCCACCCATGACTACTCAGTACCAGAACTGGCAGCAGTAGTTCAGGCACAACAAGCCTCCCCACACTCCCATGCAGACTTGGATAAGAGGGAACTTTGTTGTTACTGAGAGGATGGGCACTGAGCCCTCCTGCACATTACCTGCTGCTGGCAGCCCTCCCTCAGCCCTGCTCTCCTGCAGCTGGAGGCGCAGCCTTTGCAGCTCCCTTCGCAGCGCTCCGTTCTGCTCGTACAGCACCTGAAACAAACACTGCTCAGGACACAGGACAAAGCTCCTCCAAAGCTCCTGGTAGGGCCTCCCCCAGCCCCAGCACAGCCTTCCCAAACAAAGGAAGACATCAGAGAATTTGGAGGAGCCAAAGAAGAAATATAACCCCAGATTTCCAAGACCACATCACTACACAAAGCAACTGCGCCTGAATGCAAAAGCACACAAAACCAGGGGGGCTGCCAACACCTCAGGGGGCTGGGCCTCCTGAGACCCTCCTGACCTAAATAACCATTGGTAGAATACAACACAGAAGAAGGAAACATCATGATCTCAGCACAAGCCCAGGGGTTTGTGTTTACATCCTCAAGGCTCTCTAGTGGGCATACGGGCTGGCTAACAAGCACTGCTCTGTGCAGAGAAGGCAACCAGCAGGATTCACAGTGAAGCAAAGCCCACAGGTCTCTGGGAATGAACTTTTCCAGGTTGCAGAAGTAATAAAACAAGGTGCTGATCCCATGGGAAGCACAGCAGTCCTGCTGGTCTCCTGGTGCCAGAGACACCCCAAGGCCAGCACGGGAGTTTATCCCATCTCCATCAGCAAGGAGTCCCAGAGCTGAACACCAAGTCATGAGCCACCACACCAGTGCAATGAGCCACTTCCATGGAGGTGTCTGAAGATGGGCAGCTGTTTGCTTCACTTCACATCCTCTATCCTGTACTGGAAGCAACAGCATACAAGGCATGCTGGACTGTTCACTTTGAGCAGAAATCCAATTACATCCCATATCCTGCCACACAGGAAACTGATGTGCTGCAAGAGACTATGAACTAGGACACTTCCAGTTAACAAATATTACTGAGCAGATGTAGACAAATGCAAACCCAGTTTGTTTCATCTCCATTCTAGACAGGAAAGGGGGGCTGAGAGCATTCAACGAGTGTAAAGGATAAACCCCAGTGCGTGCCTTCACAGGGGCAGTTGAAGCCTGAAGGTCAAACCTTTCCATCCATCAGCGTTCTCGTGGACAACTCTGGGGCTGCTCAATGAGAGGAAAAATTGCAGCACCGAGCATATTCAACCCTCTGGTGCCACCTGGAGCAATGTTGCACTGGATAGTGCTTCAGAATGTTTGCCTTTAATTACAGCTGGGAGAAGGGCTGCCTGATGCATCCACAGAATGGCTTTGCTGAAAGTCTGCATTTCAGCCCTTGCTGGGGGGATGTGACTGTCCCTGTCCCTGCTGAGGGGTGCTCCCCAGCCACCCACACAGCACATGGGAACAAAAAGGCAATGTGACAAGCACAAGACTCAAAGAACAGAGCACCCAGCATGAGTTAAAGATACACAAGTTAAAAATGCAAGATATACACATTAAAAATGGGAGAAGGGAAACAGAGTTTGTGCTCATGCCTCAGAGAGCCTCATGCTCTGGGAAGGAGCACAGCACCCTGCAGGAGTTACAATACACACAGCACCAATTCTTGGACCACACACACACCAGATATCTGGACTGGCTTACCTTGACTCTCTAGCAGAGTTCAGCAGCAACAAGATTTTTAGGGTTTTTTTAAGTGGGAGCAAGAAAGAAGGGAGAAACAACAAGATAGAAGACTTTAGCTGTTAATACGGTTTCCAAATCAGGAGAACAGCTTTCTCCTTGTGCTCAAGAAGAAACCCAACAGAGCCCAGGGTCTGTCCTTAACAACAGAGGTACATGGTTCCCTAACAAAATAGTCTATGGCTACAAGCAGGAAGGAATTTATGATCCACCCCTACTCTCTCCTGCCAAAATCCTAGCAAGGCAAACAACCCATGGAGGGTTTCAGGAGTGAGGAGACAGGACTCTGAACAAGGTAAGAGGAATCCCTCTGCCCCATGGTCAGGTCTGCCTCCTTGCACTCTCTCAGGCCCAAGTGGCCAAGAGATGTGCTGCAGAGAGCAGCGCTGTGACACCAGCAGTGCTGCCCACACGTACCTGGCACTGCCGCTCGTACTCCAGGACAATCTCGGCAAAGCGCTCGCTCTGCTTCAGGAACTCTGGGCTGTGGGGCTCCCCCTGCTCCAGCTGCACAAAGAAACACTTCTCATCAGGAAAATCATCTCCAAATGGAGAGTCAAAAGCTCTACTAAATCACTGGGGTCATGGGGCTACAACCATACATTCAACAGAAGGCTCCCTAAGGGGCCCATTACCTGTGGCATGGGTCCGAAAGAGGAGGAAAACAATTTTCTCCACATGTGAGACACCAAACTACAGGCAGGCTTTCCTGGCTAACAAGATCACAGATTCACTTCTTTCCTCAGATTAATTTTAGGACTGGAAGATACTAAAACAAGCCCTTTACTTCAATAGTAGTGAAAAATAGAACTTTCCTGGAAACCGAACTCTATAAGTTTTCCCTTGAAGACTGCAGATTTGCAGAATTCTCTGCAACTGGAAAATTTCCTCACACCTTTTTTTTTTTTTCTCCCCAGCTTCCAGGTTGTCATTAAAGCACAGGAGAGCTCACACAAGGGGAGACCATAGCAACTGAACAAAATATGCAAGATCAATTTTTTATGAATTCCTGAAAAGTTCTTATTTGGCTGCAACAAGGAAAGGTTACCTTATCCTTCACAATGTGGTTGAGTTCTTTTTGCAGCTCCAACACCATTTCCTCAGAGGCTGACAGTTTCTCAGCCATCTCTGTGACCTTATTTTGTAGCTGTGTGTTCTCCTGCAGATAAAATGGAGATTTCCCTGATGCAGTGGGTCTTGACATGGCAGGATGGGTTTATGAGCCACAAGTCCTCAGCAGGGAGCTGTAAAACAACTGGAATATCAGCAGGCCAAACACAGCACAGCTCCCAGGAGACCCTGGACATGGCCTGGTTTTAGCCAGGACAGGGTTGATTTTTGCAGTAACCAGGAGAGGATGTGGCTAAGGCCCAGATGTTATTCTGTATCACCTCATTCACTGGGGACAGAGGGAAGGCAAAACACAGCACAGCTCCCAGGAGACCCTGGACATGGCTTGGTTTTAGCCAGGACAGGGTTGATTTTTGCAGTAACCAGGAGAGGATGTGGCTAAGGCCCAGATGTTATTCTGTACCACCTCATTCACTGGGGACAGAGGGAAAGCACTCTCTCTCAGTTCCAGCGAGAAGGAGATGCCTTCCAGAGAAAACGTGGCTGCTCTGCAATGAGCATTTGGCATGTAAATCACCCTCTCTTTTGTACACTTTTGTTGTTAATATTGCTGCTGTCAGTGATTGTTTCTTATCTCACTGCTGTTTCAAATAAATTGTTCTTATTTAAACCCATGGTCTCTGCTTTTTGTGCCTCCCATTCTGCTCTCCATCCACTGAAAAGTGGGATGAGGGAGTGAGCAAGCAGCTAAATTGGGAAGCATCATTCCTAAACCACGACAGGGCAGCACATTACTGATACCACATGGACTCCAAAGGACAGGAGTGGATTTTGCACAATAAGAGCAAGACAGCCCCACAGAATCATCTCTACCTCTGCACCCCAAAATTGTGGTTTCCTCACAGTTAACAAAGGCAGCAAGTCCTGAGCTATCTCCATCTGTACTTTTACACTGACCAGAACTGGGGTAATCCCAGGCATGCAGACACCATCATCTCTGCCTTTGACATGATCCCTGGCACAGTTTTAGCTTTGGTCATTGTGTTTTCAGGTGTTACCAAGGGCCAAACCACTGCCAACAGGCAATACAGCAGTTTAGTAATGGCATGGCAAGGTAACAAGTTCTGTATTTAATACGACTGTATGGATGTGGCTGATTCTTCTCCATAAAATTCCTGCTCTTCCCAACAAGAACAAAGTGAACCATCTATATTTGTCACCACCTCTGCTTTGCCACCTCTGAAAGAGCGAAGGTGTTTCATCCAAGGCAGTGGTACTTACATTCATCACATGGTTCAGTCTCCCTTGCAGGTTGGCCTCTTTGCCCTGGAGGAGCTGTGCAGCAGCCTCCAGCTTCGCCTGGTGACTCACTGCTTGCTGCAAAAGCAGCTCTTTTGCCTCTATTTCTGCCTGAAAATTCCTGGGGAAAAAAAGCAACATGGTTGGGACAGACAGAGCGTGTTCCTGGATGGCCACAAGCAGGAGATGAGAGCTTTGTTGGAAGGATGCTGAGATCATAGGGGTGGAGAGGGGTCTTCAAGGACTTTCCTGCCAATGACACATTGGCAAAACAAGTGGGAGATTCAAAAGGGATGTGTAAGCACATTTTCTCCACCCCACCAAAAGAACCCCTTCTACCTGAGCTTGCTCTGGGTGTGCTCAAGAGTGATGTACTGCTCATCCAGCTCCCTGCCCAGCTGCAGGCAGTGTCTCTCTGCCTTCTCCAAACTGAGCCGTGCCTTGTCCCTCTCCCTGGCGATCTGCCTCACCTGGGTCCTGCAGACACAGCGAGCAGGGCGTGAAGACCCCCTCAGGCAGCCCACGGAAGGCCCTCACAGGGAGCAGAGCCCTTACCAGAGGCACTGCAGTTTGTATCTGTAGGAGGTGCCAGCTGCATGCTGGAGGCCACTCCTGGGGACCATGAGTGTGTTGTCCCAAGCTGCAGGCAGCCCTGCCAGGCTCACCTGCTGCTCCGTGCTGCTGCTCCGCCTCTGCAAGAACAGACTGAGATCACTTCCTCCCTCTTCTAACAATTCCAACAGGATTGCTGTTACACCATCTGACCACCCTCCAGTCTTTCAGGGATGCCCCCCATCTCACAGATAAGCCTAGATCACATCCACCCCCACATTCCCCCAGACCTCCAGTCTTTCAGGGATGCCCCCCATCTCACAGATAAGCCTAGATCCACCCCCACATTCCCCCAGCCCTGGGGTGACCAAACCCATCCTGAACCTGGCTGCAAGCGCTTCTCCCGCCCTGGGCAGTTGCTCACTTCACCCACCACCACCGATCCAGGCAGAACCAGGGACCCTGAGGATCTCCTCTGAGCTCTTCCAGGGCTCAGCTGGCAATGACAAGTTGAGGCTTGGCAAGTCCAGTGTCTTTGCTGAGGCTGGAGAAGTGATGTGGGCCCAGGTAGCTTGGCCAGAAGGACAGGCTGCTGCTTCCCTGAGCGCTGCCCTCTGATGCTGAGGAAAAAAACAGCAGGAATAAGTCAGTGGGGCCAAGCTGGCAGAAGAAAACTGTTGGTCTTCAATACCAAAGGCAAACTTCAGAGACCAAATCAATACTGAAGAACATTTTAGAAACAACCCCAGGCTGCCAGGAGGGAGATGTCCTGAGCTGCCCTCATGGCAGCTACAAGAGCAGGTCTGGGGCTCAGACCATTCCGTTTGGTCTCCCTGCTGACCCATCAACACCCAGCATCCACAGAAAGACCAGCACTGAAAGTTGTATCACTTACAGGGTCTTGTGAGAACTGTCAGATGGGGACTGACAGCCAACATTTTGTTTGACCAAAGAGCAGAACCCAGGAAGCTGATACAGAACTCACAACATTTCCAAAAGCACCAATTTTGTACCAGGTTTGGAAGAAGCCTGTCTTCAGAGAGCTGTTACCTCAAAGTCTGAAGCCAAAAGAATGATTCTTTTTTCTTTTTTTTTTTTCTCAAGATCCTGGATTGAGCTGTCCTGGGTGTCAAGGTAAGCAGAGATTCACTTCCCCCTTAGCACATTCACATGGTGTCACTTCAAAAGCAAAAAGCACTGCCAGTCCTTGGAACTGAATGCACTAAGGAGAAAGAAGATTTTACATCAAACAAAAAAAAAAAAGGATGAAGCTTGTTCATGCACTAAAAAGAGGACAATCTGTGTCACATGTGAGGTGCAGAGACGTCAGCACTTCTGAAGTCAATATGAGAACTGGGGTGATGTTTTTCCTCTCCTAGGATGCGCATCCCTCTCCCTGCCACAAAAAGACCAGGCTCAAGAGCCCCCTGTTGTTCTGCATTACAATCCCACACCGCCTAGGCAGGGATTGCTCCTACTCAGGCAGTGCCCAAGGGAGCCTTTCAGCACCATGCAGTGGCTGCAGTACAGACCATATCTAAAATCTGTCTTGCAAATGAAGAACCCTCCCCAGATCACCACCCTCAGATGCCTGACTGAATCCTATGGAATCATCCACTTGTGAAAAAAAAGTATCTTGGCCTGAATAGTTCTCAATAAATCCTGATCTTTAGCCTCCTTTTTTTGTTGTTGTTTTTGTTTGCTTTGGGTTTTTTGTTTGGGGTGGGGCGGGGGGAACACAGGGAAATGGACGGAGAAACCTTTTTAAGTGTGTGATGTCTGTACTCGTGTCTGGATTCCCTACAGGATCGTTTTAAAACATCAAACACAAACGAACTGTCCTGGGTAGGGAACTGGCAAGCACTTAATTGCTTAATTACACTAACGCGAGGTTAGTGGAAATCACCTCATGGAGCTGCAGATCAAAGCCATCAACCAGGATCCTTCTCACAAACCTCATCCCATGGAGTTGCTGAGCCTTGGCTGCTTAAGAGACACTGACATACCGTGGAAAACGGGGCTATGCATCCGCGGGAGGCAGGCACCGCAGTACCGGCCCGGCCCGGCCCGGCTCAGCCCAGATCGGCCCCGCTCCGCTCGGCTGCTCTCGGCTCCGTTCGGGCCCGACGCCCCGCGCATGCGCAGGCCGCGCGCACATCCCCGTTCAGCGCCCTGCATGCATTCCCGGGGGGAACTGGGAAGAGCAGCGGCAGGAGGCGGAGGGAGCCGATGCCGCCTCTTTACTCAGCCCCTTCTGCAGTGCCGTGTCCAGTTCTGGCTCCTCAGGGCAAAAAGGCAAGGAGCTCCTGGAGAGGGTGCAGCGGAGGGCGACCGAGGTGATGATGGGACTGGCGCACCTCTCATGAGGAAACCATGAGGGGGCTGGGCCTGCTTAGTCAGGAGAGGAGACTGCGAGGGGATCTCATCAGCACATACAAATATCTCAAAGCCAAGAGGATTTTGCCAGGCTCTTTCCAGTGGCGCCCAGCGGCAGGACGAGGAGCAATGGCCATAAACTACAACACGAAGTTCCACCTCAGCATGAGGAACAAGTTCTGTGCACTGAGCGCGGCGGGGCAGTGGAGCGGGCTGCTGAGGGAAGGGAGCCCACGGCTTCTCCCTCTCCGGAGGCGCTCCAGCCCCAGCCGGGCGATCCCACTGATCCCACAGGGCCCGCCGAGCCCCGGCCTTCCCGTGCTCCCGTGCGCGCGCCCCGCGCAGGCGCACGCGCGCGACGTGCCCCGCGCCGCTCCCGCTCCGCCCTCCGCGCAGGCGCAGTGTCGGAGCGGGGCGCGCGCGGCGGGCGTTGTGCGGCGGCGGCGCGGCCATGGCGGGGTCCGCGGGGTCTGCGGGCGGCTCGGCGCGGAAGCGCCTCATGAAGGAGGAGGACATGACCAAGGTGGAGTTCGAGACGAGCGAGGAGGTGGACGTGACGCCCACCTTCGACACCATGGGCCTGCGGGAGGACCTGCTGCGCGGCATCTACGCCTACGGTGGGCGGCGGGCACGGAGGGGGAAGGGCCGCGGGGCCCGGGCCGCGGAGCCGGGGCACAGGCCGAGGGCGAGGAAGGGTTCGTGGGCCGCGGCAGGGCCCGGATGTGGCCCAGTCGCGCCTGCGCCCTGCGGCGGGGCCTGGCCTGACTGTGTCCCTTGGCCCCCGCAGGGTTCGAGAAGCCGTCGGCCATCCAGCAGCGAGCCATCAAGCAGATCATCAAGGGCAGGGACGTGATCGCCCAGTGAGTGCGGCCGGGGGTGGGGTGGGGCGGGGTATGTCTGGCACTTTCCCTGCCTTGAGGCTGGAAACGGGATCGGCCACCCGTGGGCCTGGGCTGGTGCCTGGCAGGGTGTGGGGAATGACCTGAAATTGGTGGGACTCGGGGACAGGTTGGCCGGAGCAGCTGTGGATGTCCCATCCCTGGAAGTGCTCAAAGCCAGGCTGGATGGGGCTCTGGGCAACCTGGTTTAGTGGGAGGTGTTCCTTCCCATGGCAGGGTGGGGGATGGAGTTGGATGTTGTTTAATTCCCTTCCAATTCAATCTGCTCTGTGGTTTTATGGTGTGACAAGCAAACAGTGAAATTGCCGAACTTGCTGTGGTCCTCTGCCAGTTAATGCCAAAGTTTATTAGGTTTAGTTACTGTAAAAAATACATTTTAGAGACAAGAAGGATATGCATCCCACTGAAAAAAATCCTTTCTTGGTCACTAGTGCAAATTACTGGCCTTACAAATTGCATTGGCTTATCTGTTATTTACTTGGAAAAATGTGTATGTGTGTCAGATGGCAGAAGGTTAAGCTGCTGGTCTGATAAGGAGTGGAGGTGCCAGAGCTGGGGACCCTGGGCTGTTCTGTCCCTGATATTGCAGTTCTCAAGGCTGCTTGACAGCCCATCCCGCTCTGACCATAACAAGCCTTTGCTGGCACTGTTGAGTTCTTTGCAGTGGTGGGTGGGAGAGCAGAGGGGTGGAATGTGTTGAAATTGCTGTGCTGTTGGCCCAGAGATGCAGAGTATTCACCAAACATCTGTTTCTCAGGTCACAGTCGGGAACAGGGAAGACAGCAACATTCTCCATATCTGTTCTGCAATGCCTGGATATACAGGTAATCTCAGAGCAGCACATGCTGAAAATAATTTTTACTAAACCACTGGTTTTCATCATAAAAGTGTGTTCTTTAAGAGTGAATAAATGAAGTTTTACTTTGAAATCTTTTGATTACGGGCAGTGAACCTCAGACAGAATTCTGACTGAGGACTTCACCAGACTCTGTAACAATTTAACTGTTAAAGCCAGTCTGGCAGAATAAGTTCAGAGGATGTCTTGTAACAATAAAGTTGTCTTTAACAGCGGACCTCTTTCACCTGTTAGGGCTAAGTTAATCTCTCAGCAAGCAGAATTGTCTTCACACAGTCCTAATAGCATCATCAGCCTATCTGAACAAGTGCCACACATTGCACAGAATCAAACCTAGGTTTTTGACTGACAGCTGTTTGCTCTTACATCGTGTCCATCCAGTAGTTTTGGGGTTTAACTTGGATGTGCAGATGCAGTTGAATAAAAGGGTGGTTTTCAGTGGGCTGGGATTGTTACTCATCTGTCACTGTCTGGGGACATAAAAATGAAAGTTGCATGTTTTAAGTGGATAGGACAGCTTTTGATTTATTTCTGTGAAGTGCTCGTAATACTTCTAGAGGTGACACCTCAGAGCTTTGTCTTGGAGCCCTTGAGCAATGCAAGGTGTTTATCTGAACCAAACACACAGAACTGAAGGACTTGAAATTTGGTTCTAATTAGCAAGAAATGTACACCATTTTTTTTTTTGTTTAGCACAAAATTCTGTGCTAAATCCTTCAGCTGTGACATTTCACAGCTTTGGTTCTGTGAGATCCATCACCTCTTGCATGCCCGGCTCTGTGGCCTGTCATTAACTTCCATGTGATTCCCTGCTTCAACCAGGTTCGTGAGACCCAAGCCTTGATCCTGGCACCAACTCGGGAGCTGGCTGTGCAGATCCAGAAGGTAGGAGCATTTCAATCCTTGTCTGGAAAGCACTGGCAAGGCCTGGGGCCAGTGCTCTGGTGTTTCTCTAGCAGAGCTCAAAGCACAGCTTCCACTTTTTCTTTCATTTCCTGAGGGAAATAACAAAAGTGTGACCTGATAGGGGCCGTTTGCTCCTCAGCATTGTAGTCATTACGTTGGCAGTCAGAGGTTTTGCACAGCCCCAGCTGAGTTTTTAAGGCCTGCTGTTGTGAAGGTTTGGGTAACAGACATTAAAAAAATCCTTCTTCCTCCTTGTGCTGCCATCTCTTTAAAAACCCCACAGCATGGCTGCACAGAGCAGCCTCTCCTGACAAGTGCAGCCTGGGCAGAGCTGGGGCAGTGACCCCATTCCTTTGTACCCACACAGGGCCTTCTCGCCCTGGGAGACTACATGAACGTGCAGTGCCACGCCTGCATCGGGGGCACCAACGTGGGCGAGGACATCCGCAAACTGGATTATGGGCAGCACGTGGTGGCTGGCACTCCGGGCAGGGTGTTCGGTAAGGAAATCTGACATGCATTGTAACTCCGTTAATGTAACATTGAGGTGAAGTGTAACAAGGTAACAACCTAGTGCTGTTGTGCCTGGAAAAGACTAAGGGGAAGTCAGTGGTGATGGTTTTTCATTTCCTCTGTTTATGCTTTGCTTTCCATTGTTGAGGTGACTCTTTATGTGGTGGCTTTGTAAAAAGGAGAAAGTATTACAGTCCCTGAATCTTCAAGGGGATAGGAGCCAGGCCTACATGAATGCCAGAATTAGGCCCATATTTTCTATGTCCTGATGGTTGCTCCATCTTTGTTAAATCAGGTGTGCTTGCAGCTGGTACCTTCTGATTCCGCTGCATGAAGAGTTTAACATTTACTGCTCGTCGCAGTTACCACAGGGGGAGTGTTGGCCTTCAGGCTCCCATCTTCTGGGTGTCTGGGAAACACACAGCACTTAGACAAGCTCCTGTCACTGGGAGAACATGAACTGGTCCCCACAAGTGGAAAAAAAGAAACACCAAAAACTAGCAGCTGCCGAGCTGGGCTGACTCACACAGGATTTGTGGATTCTGTTGACATAAAGGTCACCTGGCATTTTGTGTTTCTCACATCTGTCCCTCCTCCACCAAAATGCCCAGGCTCACTTGCTTTCAGAGTATTCTCATCTCACAAAGTGAAATCTTACAGATATGATTCGCCGCAGAAGTCTGAGAACTCGTGCCATCAAAATGCTGGTTTTGGATGAAGCAGATGAAATGCTCAATAAAGGTAAAGCATTTGCCTCCCTTTCTCCTTACTTCTTTGAGATTCTAGGGTGTCCCAGCTGGCAGGCCCACTTCTAAAAAGTTAAAGTTTTAAAAGTTAGACTATCACAGTCAGTTGTAGGCTGTAGTAGGTTAAGCTACACAACAGGCCTTGTCTGATGTTACTGATTCACACATTTGTGTTCATGCTGTAGTATAGACCCAGTACTGAATTCCAGATCAGACTGTGAAAGAGGAGGATATTTGGGAGAAGGATGTGCTAACTGTTGTGTGTGGCTTGACTTGCACTGCAGGCTTCAAGGAGCAGATTTACGATGTGTACAGATACCTGCCTCCAGCCACACAGGTGGTTCTGATCAGCGCCACTTTGCCGCATGAAATCTTGGAAATGACCAACAAATTCATGACAGACCCCATCCGCATCCTGGTGAAACGGTCAGTGAGTTTCCTTGGAGAGAACAGGGACTCTGGGAACAGGGTTGGTCCAGCCCTGGGCAGTTCACAGTGTTAACTGATTTAAATGTACAGGGAGTCTCTTGTGTTCCTTCTCATCGTCCCTGAGTGTTACAGATGTGCTCATGTCCTGTTTCCCAGCAGGGGCTGACTTATCTCTCTGACTTTTTCCTTGTCCAGTTCTGTGTGCTGCTGCTCAGCCTGGCTGTCCCCTCATTCTCCCCATGGGTAGCAGTCTCCTCATGGAAATCTATCCTTTACACTTATCCAATTCCTGGGCTCCACCAGAGGATTTTTTAAGCTTCTGTTAAAATTTCCTATTACATACAGGCAAAAAAGCCCCTTTAGCCAACTGATCCCAGGCAGAGTTTTTTTGGAGGCACAGTTTACATCTGGTGGTGTCACGGGTCCCTGTGCACTGGGACTTGGGAGGAGTCTCCTCTTGCCTGAGCTCTTACATGCCCCATTTAGTACATTCGAGCTTCTTGAGTGTGAGGAATTCAGTCTCTCTTGTCAAGAAGCTGGAATGTAAAAACGATGAGAACAGAAATGGAGCTGTCTGGCTGGAGCAGAGCAGTTCCAGTCTCTGCTGAACTGGTCATGTTCAGGGCCCTTCTTAAAGCTGAGTTTTCCCAGGACTTTCTAGAACAGCTTGGATTCCATCTGGAACCAGTAACCCACAGCACATGGGGCAGAGGGGTGGTCTCTGGTGAAGCACACCCAGCCCTTCTAACTGCTTGTTGTGCTCTTCCCTGCAGTGATGAGTTGACTCTCGAAGGAATCAAACAGTTTTTCGTGGCTGTGGAGAGGGAAGAGTGGAAGTTTGATACCTTGTGTGATCTCTATGACACACTGACCATCACCCAGGCTGTCATCTTTTGTAACACCAAGAGAAAGGTACAGGGGCCATCAGAGGGGCATGGTGCTTCCTGAGGGTGACTCAAACAATGCTGGATTAGTTAAGAGGTCTGGTTGCTCTCCCATTTGGAAATAGTTCAGTAGGACCATAGGTTAAACCTTTGGGATGTGCCTAACTTAAAACAACAGAGGCAGACCTGATACAGCTGACAGGAATTGCTTTTTTAGAGAGGTAAGAATATGTTCAATCTAAGTGCTTATAATTCCTGGAGCAAACACACACTTCCTGAATAAATGCTCTTAATTCCTTTCCTTTCAGGGCTTGTGGAGCCCTGTATCACACAGCTGATGCTTTGTAAGGATTATTTACTTCTCTTAGTCTCAGAATGCTTGTGGAAGTGTCTCTCAGGCCATACCTGCTCATCTCAGCAAACATTCTGGAGCTCAGCTGCTGTGTTTGGCTGTCTGAGCCAAGAGCTAACCCAGGCTGTGTTCACAGGTCGACTGGCTCACAGAGAAGATGAGGGAAGCCAACTTCACAGTTTCCTCCATGCATGGGGACATGCCCCAAAAGGAGAGAGAGTCCATCATGAAAGAGTTCCGATCTGGCGCAAGGTAAATGCCCCAAATAATGTTGCTTAGATCGGTGCTCAGGGCAGGGATACCCTAATGCCTCTGTCTCAGGGCTTTGTTCAGCTCAGGTTAAGGAGAACTCTGATTTCCATCTATCTCCTGTGGTGTGGAAGGGTTGAGAGCGTGCAATTTTCCAAGGAGGGATACTCATACCTCTGGTGTAGAATTAGTCTGTTCTATTTTGCTGAAGATGTTGGGAGTTTGTGCATTTAAAATTCGTGCTCCATCCTCAGTATTTCAAACACTTGGGAGCATTATTCCTTCTGAAAGATCCAAGCTGTGTTGGTCCTGTCTTGGCTGAAGTTTGGTAATAGTGCAAGGGACAGCTTTCTGTGCAGCAGAGGTGTGGATGCTGCTGATGTGCTGTGGGGAGGGGAGAGCATGGAATAGCAGGGCATGCTCTGTGCTGGAGACTGAGGGTTCCAGAAAAGTCCTAACTGTGTCCTTCTCTTTGCAGCCGAGTTCTTATTTCCACAGACGTTTGGGCTCGAGGCCTGGATGTGCCTCAGGTGTCGCTGATCATTAACTACGACCTGCCCAACAACAGAGAGCTCTACATACACAGGTGGGCTGGGGCTTCCCACGGGCCACTGGGGCTGGGGGAGGTCTTCCCACAGTGGCTCCATTCCCTCTTCCCTCTGCAGAATCGGCCGCTCGGGCAGGTACGGCCGGAAAGGCGTCGCCATCAACTTTGTGAAGAACGACGACATCCGCATCCTGCGGGACATCGAGCAGTACTACTCCACCCAGATCGACGAGATGCCCATGAACGGTGCGTGCTGCCCGGCCCATCTTCCATGGAGAGCCCGGGGGCAGCAGTGCTGTGCTGTCCCGCTGGGCTGGGGCTCTCCACACGCTCAGTTAACACTTTCATTCTTTCCTTTTCTCATTTCAGTTGCTGATCTGATCTGAAGGTCCGTGGTTAGCAGGAAGTTGTACCATTTGGTACCCTCCATAATTCTGTTTTGGACCCACATCCTTTTATCATATTTTTGGTCATATGTTCTTGAGTTGAGCTGCACTTGAGAACTTGTGTAAATATTGTCTGTACTCCCACCCGTGTTTTTCAATTAAAAAGGAAGTTTTACCATAACCTGTGCTTAATTACTTTAACCCAGCATAGTAACAGGCAGGGTGTTTTGAGATACTGCTGTACTTGGCTAGCGTAATGAAACAAAACACTGGGCACTCCCCATATCTGGACTCGCAGAACACAGGGCTTCCTGTTCTCTACCCTTTTGTTACTGTTGTGCCACGCCACCTGATGTACTTTTAGTTTCCTTAACTTAACCTTCATGGATCAGACATCTACAGGAAAAATCTGTGGCCTGGCCCTAGTCTGCTGTAGGAAAATTAAGTTAGGAGATAGCCAGAAATTTCCTGCTGCTTACGTCTTTCTGGAGCCAGAAATGACCACACGTACTGCTCCAGAGGAGGATTTCCCATCCCAAGGAACTTGGGCACACGCTTCCAGAACAGAATGAGCAAGTATCCTGTCTTGTAACCTTCTCCACCACTTTCTGCTGCTGTACCTCGTTACATCTGCTCTGTCACCTCTGCTCCTGTGTCTCTCTCTGGCATGATATTGTACTTTCCCAGCTGTAGGATCTTCCATGTGGCTTTCCTACCTTGCTCTGCCGTGTTCCTGTGTGAGGCAGGAGTTGGCCAGGGTCAGTCACCATCTTCTCTGTGCTTTTCCTGCTAAATTTGGCTTTTTGCATGCTCAGGGAGGACAGGGCAAGCAAGGCCTGGATCAGCTCTCAGAACTCCTTTCCTGAGTAGCAGTGGAATAGCCCAGGGTAGAGAAAGCAGCTGTCAGCTTCTTTAAAGCCCTGTGAAACTCCTCAGTTCCCTGAGGAACCGCTCCGTGCACCAACCTGATCTTAACAGTACACGAAGTTGAAAAGTCCTAAGCTTGTTCCAATAGGAAGACTGATTGTAACGGGTTGTCCATGGAGGTGAGGCTACTACAACCTCAGCAGCAAGGCTGAGCCAGCATTCCCACCGGGCACACACATGGAATGTGCTCACTCATCCATCCCGGACAGTGATCAGCACTGGCACAACAGCACCAACACCCTCACCTTGCCCCTCCACCTGGTCACCAGGAAGGGCTGTTGGGGACAATACACATACAGGCTCTGGATCCCTCCAGGAACTGGGCAAGGAGGCTCAGCTCATCCAGTATCCAGCCTCAGGATGACCAGTCTGCTCCAGTAACCAGCAGATGGACACAGCCCACAGCTGCACTGCAGCCGCTGGGTCAGCCCACCTTTGCACATCCCCAGTGTGCCTGTCCTCGTAGCTGGCCTTGAGACTCAAGTCTGTCCTCGGCTGGCCCTTGCGGAGCCTCTCTTGCCCCCACAGGGGGAGTGACACGTGAAAATGGAACCCCACACCCTCCGAATCAGCCCAGACCTTGTCCCTCATGCCAAAATAGATGTGACCTAGAGCTGCTCCCACACCTGGCTCCAAGGCCCCTTACCCTACTTGCTGGCTGAATCCAGCTCGCTGTTCAAGTGACATAACCTCACTCCAGGCTGCTGCTATTCCAAACGTGCAGCCCCTGGGACCACAGGTCCCATTCCAGTCCGTGCCACTTTGACCTCTGTGCCCACAGAATGGAGTACCCTCTTCCAGGGAAGGGTGAGAGATGGAGTTAACAGTTAACACGGCCGAACAAGGACACAGCCGTTTCCCAGACCTGATTAAGTCATCTTGACCCCTCCCCTTCCCTACCTTCAATCCCTCCCACAAGCTCGAGGGGATTTTGCATTCATGCTGCGACTTGGTGGCACAGCGTTCAGGAACTCTGCCCCCACAAACCCTGAAGGAGCCGTACAAAGCCTCCCAACTCCTTGTCCACGTGCTGGGAAGAGTTCTGTTTTTGCCATCTCCGCAGGGCACAGCCTCAAATCTGACCTGCACCTTCCTGGAGACCACGAGCAGCGAGGGCAGGCGTGACCCTGCGAGTCCCCGTGTGACTCATGTGGTTAGTAAGAGATTAATCACCAAAGCACGGGCTTGTTTGAATAACAGTATTTAATCTGTACAGGTTGAGATATCATAAAATGCGACATTCCTACCTCATCTTTAGCATCATTCCCCTGGAGCTGAGCCCTCACCTGCAGAGGGCAGGTAACCACCACTGCCCAGCAGTTCTTTGCAGTGCAAAAGTCACAGTGCAATTGCTTTAGTCCTAGACAGATGATTTCCCTCACTCAAGAGAGGGGAGATGTTAAAGCTCAAATGTTGATGAAAATTGTTACCATTTAGGAATGCAAAAAAACCAGCTATTGCACACAGCCATTTCCAGCTGAAACTACAGCAATTAATTGTTTAGCTGCCTTTACACTCCACACAGTTGATACTGATTTAGCCAAGAATGAAAGTAAAGCCAGTAACAAGATTTCAGAGTGATACAATTGTTGGAGGGCAGAATCTGACAAGCAACTCCACAAGTCAAAAGCGTGCTTAAGAACAGCAGGAGGTTTTTCTGTACAGGGAGGGGGTATGAGCTGGACAGAGGTCACCTTCCAGAGACAAGCATGAGAGGAACATCGGCTTCAATAGAAAGCTATGAAGTACAATAGAACAAATCTGTTCATATAATTGTCAGGATAAGTATTTGACATAGTTTATGTAGTAGAATACAATACTTGAACATCTTTTAAAAATAAGCACGGATTTCATTTCATATATACACAACTGATTTTAATCATGTACTGAAAATAAATTACAGGAAATAACTTTAAAATGCAACAGAAGACAAGAGTTTCACAACAAACATTCCCATTGATTTTTCCAAGGGGGTGAGAGATTGCAGTGCTCAAGGCAGGTAAATATCACAAATATATCAAAAAACTTCAAATTGTTGATGCATTCACACATTTACATGAGCCACAAACATTCCTTTACAGGAACTGCACTTAGCTACCACAGAACCAGGTTTTGCCATAAACTACAAAACTTTGATACAAAATCGTATTTATATATTTATATTTCATATACATGCCCTATCTGTGATTTCTTAAAAAATAAAAACTAAACACACTGTACAGACAATCCTAACTCATTGCTTGGTAGCTGTAGGCAACATTTTTGGATGGAATTTCTTCCCCAGTAGAATTAATGGCAATATTATATACATGAAGGCTAAACTGCAGAAAAAGACAGCTCAGTTCCGATATGCACCTCCCTCGGGACCAGGTCTGCGAGTTCAAGGCAAGACACCCTCCGTGCTGAGCCACTGCCTCCCTGACACCCCAGTTCTGCGTGGGGAACCAGCACATGCATCTGTGTAACACTGGTAAAAGGCAAGAAAGCAAGAGACGCGTTGCAATGGAGTGGCTGCTCCGACGGCTCCACCGGCCGCGCACAAAACACTCGCGGCAGCAGGCGAGGGCGGTGCCGAGCTGGGGACAGCGGGGGAGAGCACAGCTGGAGAGGGGCTGACCATGACACTTCCCTGAAGTCAGCTGCTGCAGGGGACAGGTTCCCGCCGTAAGCCAGAGCCTGCACGGACTCACAACGCTGGGGAAGCTCCCCCTCCCTCCCCCAAACACGGGGCACCAGGACTAGGTAAAACTGAGCCACTCCCTCCCACCCCAGCGGGCTCCATGGCACCAGTTTGTCTGAGAAGCTGAGCACTGACAAATGTAACTCTTCCCCGGTGATGGCAGCAATCTGTGAAGCCGATCACACTAAACTACTTCTACAGTTGATTGTAAACTTTGGTTTATTTTTATTTATTTTTTATTATTATCGAGTTCTCATGGTACAGCAAGCATGTCTAGGATGAAAAGGGCAGAGTTGAAGAGGAGACGAACTGTCAGTCTGTCTTTAGTCTGGCATGGTGAGCCACCTGCTCGGTCAGGCCTGCTTTGATAGAGTTTTTTACAGACTGCCTCATATGATCCTCCATCAAATTATCACTCATGGGCTTCAACACCTGTGGAATGAGAAATGTGCAAAAGAAACAAGAAAATGAGGGAACCAAGGAAAATAAGATATAAAATCATATAAAGAGATGAGACTTGAAATCATGAAAAAACTTAGAATGATGAAGTCTGACACAAAGAGGCATGAACTGAAAGAGAAATGAATTTTGCTGCTAGAGTAATGAGGTTAAAGCAGTCACATGCTATGGACACAAGTGATACCCCTCCTACACAGCAGTATTTCACTGAATTCAAACCACTTTACAGTTCCTAGAAGATGGATGTGCAATTCCATACCCCATATGCAGCATCAGTCTGGTATGGTTACAGCATTTATGCAGACCGGCCCAGACGGTCCAGCTTATTGTCCTATATGTGTAAGTGTGAACACTTCAGATACAGAAAGAAAGTTAAAAATACTGGCTAGTTTTTCTTCTTGTTATTGTTGGATGAGAGTCGCTGTCGCGGCACTGATGTAAGAGCACGACGAACCGTTCGGCGTCTAAGGACTTCAAAGAGTTTGGAAAACACCTAAAACACGAATTCAGCTGTTAGGAAAAACGGCTCTCACAACACAGCAGAAACTCAATCAAGTTCAGAAAAACAAAAAAAACCTGATTGCCAGTAACTTCTCACCTTCCTGGGATTCCTCTGAAGCAAGGAGGGAAAAGAAAGGCAGAGATTCAGAAAAATCAACAGCAAGAATGAGTATTTAATCAGAGTGACTCAGACAGGACTTGCAGTGCTTTGCATGTTACTGGTGATGTGCAGCTCTAAGAGCAACACTTCTGAGGTCTTCTGGAGACCACCTTCCTCCAGCCCACAAATGGCAAGCTCCTGCCAGCATAAGCCAAAGCTCTCCCCCTCCCAAGAAGGCAGCAGCCAAATCAAAGCCTTCTGTGCTTGGGGCATCCTGCAGCAGCAGCTCCAGCAGTACTGGAGAGCCTCAATTTTAACCACTAGTGAGTGGTGGTAACTCCAGATTTAGTTACTGATTTATTTACTGATGCTCATTTCCCTATTTTTAAGAATCCACTTTTTCTGCTCCAGTGTAACTCACAACCTGACTGGGACCCTCAGCAGGTTGCTCAGATAGGCCTAGTGTGCCAGTGCCTAGGATCAGCCTTGAACACAGGAATTTTCCAGCTGTGGAAGCAAGCGTCTGTGCAGAAGGCTCCAGTTAGTTATCTGCTCATGCCTTGCAGGACACACTTTAATGTCACCCCAGATAAGCTCAGTGCACCCTTTATTTCCAGTAACAACAGCAGCAAAGTGCTTCCCTTCTGCAGGCACTGGACAGAGCTAGTCACAATGCTCCACAAACTACTTGTCAGGAATTCTCTACATTGACCTTACTGGCACCACTGTGTCAACTGAGTTCAGGCAGCAAAACCTCTACACAGAAAGTTTCCTCCTCCAGCTCTACTGTCCTTACACCCACATCTTTTCTTTCAGGAATTTGTTGAGTATTCCTTGCAAACAGCAGTTGCACCCACTGAAGCTGTCACAGACAGCACAAGTCTCCCTGATGGACAAAACCTGCTGTGCACCCTCTGGCAGCAGCTGCTGAAAGCCATCACTCAGCCAGTTCTCTCCAAGGACTAATCAATTCCTTGCTCTGAATAAGGAAAGGGAGTTTTGAAGAGTGCCCTTTACCATCTAAGTAACCTTCTGCACCTTCTTTGATAATATCCTAAGCTTAGTTAACATTCCTTGTGTGCAGCATCTGTTCCTGAAGAGAGCAGTCACACTACTGAGCAGATTTTCCCTTTGGCAGCACTAGCATTCTCTATTAGGTCTAGACCAGCTTTTCCCTCTCAGCACTGAACAGAAACTGTTTGATTTGTCTGCTCAAGACAGCAAGATTTTGCAATAAAAACAGATACCAACCTGTTCCCATATAGCTTCAGCGATCTGATCAATGGCTGTTCCAACTTCTCTGAATTCCCCAGAGTACTTAACGTATGCCCAAGTACAAAAAGATATAAGAGCCATCCCCAGCACGAGATTACACAGGGCAGCTATGGAGTTCATGCCAAGGAACCCAGTCAGTCCTGAGATTATGTACATGGCAAACATGACTGCAAATAGAGTGGCAGGGGTACGAGCAGCATAAAAGATGTTTTTGCCATCGTTGTGCTTCACAAAGTTTGCATAGATCTCTTCGATTTCCACTTCCAGTTGCTCCTGGTAGCGCCGGCAGAACTCCTCCCCTCCCATCTTCTTGACGGAGCGGAACTGCCGGATGGCGCTCTCTCGGAAATCCTGGTGCTTCTGCTCGAGGTCCGACGGGGCAATGTAAGGCTTATCTCCCCCACACACCTGTGGGACAACAGATATCATGGAATCACAGCCTGAGCGTCTGCTGCTGCACAGAGAGCACCTGCCCCTCGCTGCCCCTGCGGCTCCCGTGGCTCTGTGAGCCCCAGGCCCATCCAGTGAAGCAGGCAAAGGTATTTTGGATCCTGGCAGGGCAGGAGCCTCTCCTGTCCAACCACAGACCCACAGCACAGGACTGAACTCATCCTTCCACTGCTCTCTTCAGGCAAGACCAGAAGGACAGGACAACAGCCACACACACCCCTGCTTCTTCTCAGAATGAAGTCCTCCACATCCACCAAAACCCCCTGGAAAATGCCTATCAGTCTCATCCTTCAGAACAGTTTTTTCACATTGCCCAGAGCATGTTAAACACCAGGAGCTACTGAGGGATCAAGAGGCCACCACACAAATAACTGGCACTGTTTTCTTATACTCTGTGACACTGCACCTGTTGTTCCTTACGTTTCAGGTCATTAGTGGGACAGTATTTTGGTTATGCACACTCAGCAAAGGAGGGCTTCAGTTCATGAGGACAACTCAGAAGCTGCAGCAAGAACTACCTTTACATAATCGAGTTTTAAATCCAAAGAGTTCCCACTTCTGTTCTTAAAAATAGAAGTTTCAGAGCTGTGTCAGATCAAGAACATCATATGAGACATCTGGATAAAAAACTATTCCATAATTTGTGCATATCTCTACAGTGATATAAAAATATACAGTACTGGGGAACATTACTATGGAAACAAAGTCTGTTTAAAAGAACATCTGTTTCTGTTTATTCCCTGCTCCAAGTTAGGAACCTTGCAGCTACAGTATCTCAACAACCACTGAAGATTCAAGTTTGGAAGGCAGACTTGGCACTTATTATAAACAACACATTTACTATTTCAAGACATTTTCCAAAATGGAAATAGAGGAGTTCCTTTAAACCAGCAGAACGTTGTCCAAACAGCCTGCTAACAAATGGAACTGGCTTGTCTACAACTAGCACTAGGGTCTTACTTTAATCTCAAAAGAGCTACTTCAGCAATTAAGACCACAATTAGCCTAATTAAGGGGGAGCTATGTTTGTAGCATGTTCTCACACCTACTGGTCTTTCTGGTTGTACAGCTTCACAATAAGCACAGTCCTGTTATGCTTTACGAGACATGTAATGGTTTCCAGAATTTCCTATGAAAAAACCTTGCATACCACTAAATTAAAGTATGAAATCCATCCAGCATTCAGCTTAGAATCATAGAAGATCACTATCTTCAAGAGAAGAAGCAAATGGGAAATTACAGACACAGGTTTTTCAAAGTAATTCTTGTATTGCAAGGGGTTTGTTTAAATTTTTTAATCACTTCAATGCTTGCATTTTACAGCTAATGAATGGCCACAATTCAGAAGCATGAGACTACAGAACTGGAATTCCACCCCTGTGCAACCCTGACACAACAAATGTCTGCTCACCTGTTTGTGCATTTCATGTCACAGGATTTGGAGATGCCTGTCAAGAGCCATAGAGGGAACTAACAGGTGGGAATCCTGCCAACACCTCCATTCTCATACCTCCCCAGCATCACACACCCAAGCTCAGAGCAGAGTGCAGAAAACACACAAGTCCTGGCCCTGAGTTACCTTCCCCCACTGAAGTTACCTTCCCTCACACACAGAGGACAACATGGAAGCTGAAGGCCTGTAATTGCATGTAGGTGTTTAGGAAAGGTTGTGCCATCATACCTGCTCCATGCCTTTGCTATATAAGTCTTTTGCTCCTGCCACAGCAGCAAGATTGTTCGCCTCAGCTGTTGCCTAGAAAACATGGAGCATCCTTTGTCATTCACAACATTCCCAGGTTTTACACAGCACTGCACTCCAAACATACCCCCAAAACCTCCAGAGTTCCTGATGGCCAGGAAAAGGCCACACAAAAATAAGTGAAGTTTAGCAATATACATTAAAACACATTGCTGCCTTTCTTCAGCTTTCTAGCCCAGCTGCAAACAAACCTCAGCTTGCTCATACAGGCTTTTCATCATGAGCAATCTCTTCTGAATGCTCTACTGTTAAAAAACATATAAGGGTCACTAAACTATTATATTTTAATCCTGGCACTGGATTACTTCCAGTACCAGAGAGGAAAGAAGGAAGCTGGGATTATTTCTACATTACAGATGTACAGTTTTGGTATCAATCGTAATTGTCAAGTTTGTTAAGAATTTAAATCTTATTTTCTACCTGTGTCACGTCAGGGACAATTATTGTAGTTAAAGCTGCAAGATGTAATTTTCTGGATATCTCCCAGCCAAACAGCAAATTACAGGAAACTAATGCTTAGAGAGTACAGGAGCTAAAAAACCCAATCAACCAGACAGACCCCAGCTCTATTTGGTTGATTTAATTTCATTTGGTTGATGAAACTGAGGGGAAAGTACCCAACCATCACAGTTCAGGTGGCTTTCAAAGTACACAGATCCTTCCAGAACTGTAACTGTGGGTGGGGGGGGAGGCTCAGGCCCACAGCAGTCATGATTCTTCAGTTGCAAAGAACTTATAAAAGACACATCATCTAATCAGATTATTTGAAAGAAAATAAAATACCTGCAGCATAGATTTCGGATGAGGTAGCTCCTCTCCTTGATAGATTTTAATGTAAGCCTAAATGGGAGGAGGAAAGAAAGATTTATTTTTCTAAACATTTATGTTTAAGAAGAGTAAGAAATGAGGGACGATACAAAGACAGAGCTCAGATTATTTCCCTGTAATAGTGCTAAATACTAAATTATGCAATTTTCTTCACAGAAGTCTGGCAATTTTTTCCCCTTCACTTTCCTATGCCTGAGACTGGGGCCCAGCAGGGCAGCAGAGCACCCTGAGGACACATCACCACTGTCCCAAGATGTGACAGGTTTCGACAGCAGGTTTCTACTCCCTCAGATGCATAAGGTCTTTGCTAGACAGGGAATCTTCACCCATAACAGAAGAGTGGAGATGACTATCCCAGCCCTTCTGGCAAGAGGTCTGCCCAAACTATGTAAGTATCCAGTGCTGGGAGTACCAATACTTACATTTCCCCACATGCCTTGATCTACTGAAGTGTAGGAGGAAAGAAAACACATCAAGGCACTTTTTACAGACAGAGCTGAGCAGACAATACACTTCCAGAAGCTAAGCAGGCAGCCTATCCCACTGTGCCCCACCCCACTTATCCTCAGGCGTCCTTTCTTTCCCCAGGGTTTCAGGGGGCTGGAAGAGAACACAAACTTCATTTCTTGTCCAGCCCCCACAAGCTGGCCCATGGCACAGCTCCTGGGGACAGGGAAGTGGGGCACAGCAGGCAGCAGCAGCCATTCCAGTGCTCTGGACAAGCTGTGCAAGTTACACCAGCAAGGCCACTCTCAGCCTCTTGAGGGGGGTCTGTCCTCACACCACTGCTGCCTTCCCTCCCTGCCCTGTCTGCAAGCCCCAGGCCTGAGGATTTTTTGCTCCAAGGAGGAGAGAACAAGGTTATCAGGGTCCCCATGTACTCAATGCTCTAGGTTGCAGAACAACCTACAAAAACCTACAGAGTTATACAGGACTCTGTTCCCTTGATACCCTCCTTGCTACTGTAGCTATTTCCTCCAAGTAAAGCCCTACAGTTTCCAACTCAGGCCTCACAATCTCAGCTTCAGATGCATAGTCCCAAGGGAGCAGTCCTCTTTACTTACATAAGCATAGCATTTCTGCAGCACCCCACAGCACTGCTTCCTGACTGGATACAGGATGCCAATCAGCTTTCCAGTAGAAGTTTTACACTTGGGTTTTTAGGATGCAGTCCTTTCTAAACTGCTGCTGAACATGCACTCCCTGCACTGTACTTGAGTGGGTCCTACCAGAGAAAAACTGGAGCAAAAAGCAGCGTGCAACCATGTAAACAGTGAAACTCTGCACTCCCGTGCTGATTTCACACTTGCCAGAACAGCCACCACTTCTGCATCCCATACCATGTCTTTCCTTCAAAAAGTTACTTTGTTTTACAAGTGAAGTTAAATGAGCTCTGGTCTCAACTTCCTTCCTTACATAGCTTGTTTCATAACATCAGCCTAACTTTTCTAGCCCAAAAGTAGCAATGCAAAATTTCTGTCTTGAGGAGACAGTGGCATCATTCCCACCAAGCCAACTGTCCTTCCAATTAAAAAAAAAAATAAGGCTACACACACCAGACCAATCCCTGGTGATGCAGATTATGTTATCACATTTCTGCTGGTGTCACCATGATACCAAAAAAGCTCAAGACTAACAGCTGTGAGTATCCTATATAAATATTTCAGAGCACAGTGGTGCTACACATGCAAGTGTTTAGAAAGCATCTTCCTTGCATGTTAAAAATCCAGAAGGGAGTACCTGAAATTTTCATTGCATACCAAGCAGTTTAAGAGCTGTTTTTCTATCTGTAAAAACTACATGATACGTACTTTAATTCAAAATAACCAAAACAAAAAAACACCCAACTGGGATTTCAAAAAAAACATCTAATAAAGCTTGTGCTATTTCAGGCTACTCACAGAGAGGAAAATAAAAGCCACCAACCCACAAATTTTGCTAACAGTAGCTTGCAAAGAGCTGTACTGTTAGGAAGTAGTGTGCCAGTTCTGGAAAGTCAGAGTAATGAAATGAAAATAAAAGTGAGCTGATCAACGAGTGTCAGCCTAGATATCTTATCTTCTCTGGGAACAACATGGCCTAAAATTAGAATACTGTCTTTTAAGCTATTAACAGAAATAATTAGTATGAGTTTGCTTACCTTGAAGTATTCTACAAGATCTCTACAGGTCACCTTGGATCCACTAATCTCTTTTTCTACCAAGTTTTCAGGGGCAAGCAGTAATGGTATCAAATTCCGCAGTTCATTCTTAAAATCCTCATCTATATCTAGTAAAATTCAATTTCAAGAAAAAGGTGGTTAGTATTCAATCTTGTATCTCTTAAAGGAACACTGATAGCCCACGATCCTTCTAAATCCACAGCATCACAACTCTGAACTGCCTTTTTAAGGTATTTAAAGGCTTACATACATAATATAGCTTTAGTAAGTTCCACCTACTCTTAATCTACCCATCTTAACGCCAGACTGGGAGAACAAGGTTCCACTGTGCTTTTCAGATTTTAAGTGCATTTCCCCAATCACAGCAATGCACAATGACCTCACAGGTGTGTGCCCTAAGCATGCCACCACTGCAGCTCACTTTTATAGCCTCTGCCATTGAAGCATTCCCTCGGTGGTGGGGGACACGCATCCATTGGAGGAATCCTGACTGCCTCTCATTCTGCAGTAGCAGAACCCTATGGCTTTTATTTCAGCCATTTCAGAGCTGACCTGTGGTTCAGCAAGTGCTTAGAGAAAAGCCTTTCCAAAAAGTTAAGTCTTTTATCTTGGGAATTCTGCCCTCTGGAGCCCTTAGTTATCTTTGGAATCTCTATTTAATGACCTTTAAGCATGTCTCAACTTATCAGATTACAATGAACAGCTACACACAAAGACATCCATTCCCTCTCCCTGCTTAGTTCCTCTACTTTTAAACCACTAAAAAGAGCACACAATGCACATTTCTAAATTCTGCAGCTTCACCTTTTAGCCTGGTATTTTCCAGTCAGGCATTTCAATAGCTAACCATTACAGTGCTTGACTTCCATCATATACAAAAACAAACTCAGTGATCTGAATCAAGAAACACAAAATTAAAAGCTTCCTACCATTCAATCTCCCATCAAAATTTGGATTTGTTGCAACTTTAAGACCAGGGTGGGGCAACAGGAAACACCCAAGATTACTGAAACAGGAGTGAATATGCTTCCTTACATTCTGTAGCTCTTCATGTTGGTTTTGCTTTACCTGAGGGGAAAAAAAGGCATTAAGAACTGCTACCAGTTCTACAATACTGAAGTTGAGATTAACCATCATCTTAAAAGTACTAAGAGCACAAAACTGTGTTTAAGCTTTTATTTCTGAACCTAATAATGTAAACTTTGCCTGTAAGTAGAAACACCACATATGTATTTTATTAGCACATGGAGCCAGCTCATGATGCATCATTGTCTTGACAGCAAAGTGTCACATAGAAGATCAGAACAGGACTACTGGAGACAACTTACCTGCAATCTTTTCTCTAGGAACTTTTTTCCTCCTTCCAAGCCATATGCATGTTCATAAGGATAACTCCAGTCTCTAATTAAGAACATTAATGTCTGCAACAGGAAGAACAACAGCAGTGAATGGTTTGAATAATTTCTAAGGTCAAAAATTCTAACATGTGTGATTATTTTAAGTATTTGGCTGCTCTAAAACTAAATATATTATAGATTACAAGAAAGGATACTATGTAAGTTTTCTGGTCTATCTGGCTGCTCTAAATGTAGCAGCCTTGTACTTCTGTGGTGCAAGTCTTTGCTTGTTTAAAAAAACAACTAAACAGAACTCCACCAAACAGGACCCTTCCTTAGAACCATCTCCCACCAGCAAGGACCAACCATATCTCAGAATAATATAGAAGAAATTTTTCTCATTAACGCCTGCATATCACCTGACATTTTGATTCCTTTTATGCCTTATAACTCAAGCAAAAAGCTATACTTGCCCAAAATGTGATCCTCTTTAGCATTTTTCCATTGGGTTTTTGCAAAGCCATGTGGCAATACTGAAGGAAAATTAGTCTTGCAAAGAACTGGTTACCTTCAGCCCAACTAATTTATCTGCAGAAATTATCCTGAGCTCATTTTCTACAGATTCAACTGCTTAAATCCATTTAACACATAGTTACCTGAAACGGCTTTTGGTAGATTTCTTCCATAGCTAGTCTTCCATATTCTGTAAACAACTGAGAGAAAGAACAGTGTAAGGATGTGCTACACAGAAAACACATGTTTCTGCTGTAAAATATTCTATTATGTCTTTAAAAATAAAGTATTCAATCTATAGTTTACTATAGGTTTCAATTTTATATCTTACTATAGGTTGAGAATGGCAAACAAACCTCAATAATGAGTATACCAACCCTCAATAAGATTCAGGTAGGAGACATGATTCCCACAGGCTTCACAGTGCCATTCCTGAACTGTCAACACACTGCAGTTTTAAGTGGGTGGCTTGTGGGCTATTCTCAGAGAAAAGCTGGCTGCATTTCTCACCAAGTCAGCTTCCAACACTTGCTTCCTAGGCTAAGAAGGTAAGCCTGTCTAACATTTGCCCCTTACTTCCCACAAAAGGTTTATTCCTGGAAATCCCAGGGAACTTGGCTCTAGCCAATATATCAGACATTTAAATACAAGCCAAGTTCAGCAGCTTCTCAGATCTCTGCTTCACCTCATGACCTTAACTAATAATTGTTCCTTCCCTCCAGTATAAAGTATCAGCAGTCCTCCCCTGACTGTTTTCACCATCTTTAACACCTGCAGCAGCATTCCTTGCTGGCCTGAGCAGGCCAAGCCACCACAAGAACAGGAAAGAGGGACTGTGCTGGCTGCTTCAGCACAGGTCAATACTGGCAGGGATCCATGCCAGCCTCCTTACAGATACTGCAGGTCAAGATGATGGAAGCACACCAGAACTCTCCAGTACCAGCAATCATTACTCTGCATTAAACTAACTCCGGGAGGGTCTCAGGTAGATTAGGGCTCAAAGGACAGCTCTGGTGTTGATCACAAGAGCACCTGGGAACTTACAAGACTAATTTAACACAGCTTAACTTCCAAGTCCTTGTCACCCTGAGCTAAAGCAGCTGTGAAGTGGCCAAGCATCCACAAGAGTCTCTTTGACCTAAACTCTTTACCTCATTCACTTCCCTGCTAAATGCAAAAGGCAGTCAGAGACTAACAGTATTTCACAATTACATGAATTCCTGTTAAAACAGAAATTCAGAATTTCCTTCCTTCAGATCATGATTCCCTGCTGCAACTTTAAATGCACGGGTGTCCCCTAACCCAGTGCCTGCACTTATCATCCTTCTCTTCCCTTCCTTCCTATTTATCTCACCCTCCAGTAGAACAGAGACAGATTGTTTTATTCAGATTACAATGAGCTGGTTAAAGGACCAAAATCTTCAGGGAAGCCTGGCTTTCAAGTAATTACCTACAGATTTTTTTGTTTTCACTGCTTGGTTGGGTTTTTTTTGGGGTGTGGGGGGTATAGGCCCAGTGATACAGCCATGCTAATTGAGAACAGCTTCATAAGATTACTTTTAGTTAGTGCTCTTCTACTTCCAGCACTGGCAGCCAGTCTGTTGCAGCATTGAACACACACAGAACAATTTTAAGCTGTGATAAGGTCATGGCCTTGGCATTTGGTAATACACAAGCTATTCTCTAAAGCTGCAGGTTTTAAGTTAAGGAGATAAGGTTCTTGCACCATTCACATGAAGCCATAATTCAGTGGCCTTTAACCATGATGTTGCATTAGAGGATAAAAACCCCATGGTGAAGAGAAGACATTCTCCTGCTTTAATTTCTAAGCAGAATAAAACTCTGAAGAAGTTTCTCAGCTGAAAAACAGAGATGGCTTCTGGGCAGAAAACTCTGGCCTGACCCAAACTCCAACACTTCCTTACAATCTGGTTATGAAATAACATCCATTTTCCTATTTTGGGAAAAAAGTGAAACACTGGAATTTCACCATTAAGGATTTCCATAAATCATTTTAATTTCTCATTTTTTCAGGAGTTTCAGAACTTGCAATACAGAGAACAGACTCTGAAAGAATCAGCCAGATTAGAAGCCTGTACTATTTTACCTCTGCATTGGCACAGCAGAAGCATCATGGAGTTGATGTAAACACAGTTTTTATACATTGTACCAGTTTTAGTATCAGGTCAAGTTCAGTGTTCTACATGAAGCAACAAACTACATGAATCTCCCAAGTCAGTTACATGGATAGTAACTTCTAGAATATTGTCAAGACTATCAGTACAGTTTAACATAAATTCACCATATTCCTACCTGCAAGTGTTGAAGGTCATCTTCCTGAATATTCTGAGACAAGTTGTATACCTGCAAGAGACAGTCAGAGTTACAGTGTCACATGAAACCACCATCTTACATTCATGTAGTCTCTTTCACATATTGAGTAGTTTTGTTCCCTCCAGCAAAAGTGTATCTACCCAAAAGTCAGCAAGCAGAAACATGTCACAGAACACATCTCAAATAAAAGTCACCTCCTTATTCAAAAATTATTCACCAGAGCAAACTCCACAGGACAGAAGTAATGCTCTACATACTCCTGTTCCCTTTAGGTTGTGGCATGTCTGAAGAAAGCCACTTGTCACTCCTCAAAAACCTGCTCACTTTTGGCACTTCTAAGGCACAAGCTTAAAAGTAGTTTTGAGTATAGCACAATTCTCAGGAGCTTAACTGACACTTGAACAGGAGCAGCAATTTTAAGTTTGGCTGATCACAGCATAATGTCACCCCAAAGTGTACCTACAGACTTAAAAAAGATTCTGTAACACATCTGTAAAGAAGCAGTTGCTACTTTGACATCTTGGGGGGAAGGGGATCTCCCAGTTCTGTCAGCAATTTAACTCAGCCTGGCCTTGCATAACCTTGATTCCACTGAGCAAGTTGGGTAGTTTATGTACCACACTGAAAATAAGAAAAAGTGTGGAATTTTAAATCAGAGTTGGAGGAAGATATGCAGGTGAACTTTCCAAGTGTGGCTCAATAGAGCACATTCAGGATAGAGGGTTCTGCCATTATTTGCCAGCATGGATATTCTCACCTGGACAGAGCTCGTCATGGTGCTCAGGGCAAAAACTGTTGCACAGTCTTTGATAGTGGATTGGCTATCAAAGGCACCTTGGGTATCCATGAGTAGTACAGCAACCTGCAGAGTTTGAAAGAACAGCAGCAGTTAACCACATCAGGGACACTTTCACACTCCTGGCCACTGGGGTCAGTTTCTGCTCCTATGCCTGCTGATGAACCTCAGCCAGCCCCCTGCACACATGATTACACACACCCAGAGCTTAGTGAGCAGCAGCCAGAGGGCCCTGCCTCAAGCCTCTGGCCTTGCCTGCCTACCTTCTCCCAGAGAAACAGCCCTCCTTGGCCCAGTGGGGGTGCCATGCAGACTAACTGACAGCTCTCCTTCACTGGAAGAACATCAGCCTCAACTGCAGATCTAGCATAGTTCATTAGAGCTAAGAGTAAGATGGTTACTTACAAATACATATATATATATATCTTAAAATAATTATTGTCAGCAGAAAACAAGATAATTGATACTGTCTGCTGGAATGACAAGGAAGGAAGTGATATTAATGAAAAAAAATTATCAGTCCAACTCCCATCTTTGGCATCTACTACACTCCCATTCTCTTTCCCACTGCCAAGCAAAAACAAGTGATTTGTTCCCAAAGCATAAGCAGATTCACACTACATAACTGGTTTTTAACCAAAGAAATGTTTGATTAGCTGTGAAATCTGTTAAACACCACTAAGCCACTATTTTTAAAATCCATGTCCCACAGATTGGGCATCATATGTTTCCTTTGCAAATGCAAAGGGTCTGAAATTAAAAAAAACCTAAAACCAATGGTTCAGAACACAAACAGTTCAAGATCATCACCGCTATTGTGGAGTAAATATTTATTAATGACATTAACATTGTGTTTCAGCATAAACACCTCCAAGTAAAATTTGCAGTTAAACTGACTTGAGAGTTAAAAAAGAATCAAGTTAGTGCTTTTTTTCCCTACTGTTACATTTAGTCCTTTTTTACAGACTGCTTGCTAAAATTGGAAATATGGAAGGACCAGCTTCCAGACCCTGAGGTACTTACAGCCATGCACTACACTTTACTAGAACACAGCTAGAAGCTAGAACATATTCTCACCCTTCCAAGAACAGTGTGCATTACAGAGCTTTTCCCCCAGCATTTGTCTGTAGACAGTATTTATAGCCATTACAGTTTTACAACATTCCCAGGATAACCCATCCATCAGCCTGGACAGGATAGACTTTGCCAAAACAAAGTACTCTCAGAATGAGACTATTGTTGATTTTTTCTGCTGGGTTGTAAGAATCAGTCTCCATCCTTACACTGATAACAGTTTCCAGATATGTTACACAGCTGCTCAGGGCAAAGGAAAGCACCCAGTGTTCAAATAGCCACCGTGAAATCCATGACATTAAAAGTGTACACAGAGGCAAAAATCCTACTTAAGTTTTAGAATGACAAAAACAGTTCAGGCTGAAAGGGACCTCTAAGGATCATCTTGTTCCAATCCCTCTGCCAAAGGCAGGGACACCTTCCACTAGACCAGGTTGCTTGGAGCCCCACCAAACCTGACCAGGAACACCTCCCGGATGGCACATCCACAGCCTCTGTTTCATTTTTTAAAAAAACAAAAAACAACAAACCAAAAAAAAAAATAAAATAAACAACCCACCATAGAATCAAACCAGGAAGCCTACAACTCCTGCAAGGGAAACCCTGAGTAAATCAAGGTAAGTTAAGCACTCACCTTTGTTCCATTAGGTTTTTCAATTACAAACACTTCACTCCAAATCTGAATGCCAGTGGTTTCCCGTTCACATCCACCTCTCCATGTAAACCCGGTCAATGGCTCGGTGTTTCCACCTATCCAGCAAGGAGAAGTCTACAAAACAAAAGGAAAAACTTATGTAAAACCAAGGAGGAGATTTCTATTTTTTTTAACATGCTATGTTTTAGCAGACTTCCACACTGTTATTACACTTTCCTCAGAGCCACCTGACAACACTACACAAAATATTAAAACACAGTGCTACTCTGCTGTGTTTCAAGATCATCCACAAAGCAACCCCATGGTATTTGAGTGGCTGCACAACTTTTCAGTCACTGAAATATAAGTGTGCACAGTTTTTGAGTCTCCAGCACTCAGAGGTATTGAGAACAGCACAGTTTTGTCCACCAGTTCCACTCTCACAGCTGAGAAAACTCTGCTCAAACACAATGGCAGATATTTCAGCTCAGGAACAGCCACAGGAATCTCTGCAAGAGACAAAACACCTGATCTTAACTTAATCCTCTCCCTTCCCCCTCACTAGCAGCTGCCTAAGCATTTGAGTCTCTACACTAACAGAAGCCACTACCAGACTCCCAATGCCACCTTGCAGAAGCCACAGAGAATAGACAAAGACCAGAAGATTCACAGTCTATACTTGCCAGTTACAGAGAAAAGGTCAGTGTAAGACTTTGATAGATACCAATCAACCCAACCATATTAGAGTTGAGAAGCCATCTGAGAGGTAAGAACAGGTGGCAGCTAACAGTCCTGGCTGATGGAAGTGTAATGAGCTCTTCAAGGAGAGGCAATGCAGAGCAGCAGCTCACCCACAAGAATCCAGCCATTATATGAGCACATCTGACCCAGAAATGTAGCTCATGCACTGGCAAGTAAGGAGGATGAGCAGGCACCCTAAGGAAGTTTCACTTTGATAGGTTTTTCTGTAGCTCCCTCATCAGTTAAACTGTTGTCTGCCTGCCACTTCTTTCATGGAGGATTTCAGTATATACAAAGCTTTCTTTCACAGGCTAGAACACGGCAGGCTCGCCTAAGAGACATTTAATGAATTGCCTTGAACTGCCCAGAGTAGATTACCAGCCAGGAAAGAGTCCACTGAGAAGGTCAAAGTGAAGATTTCTCAATTCACTTCTGGGCTCTGCCTTGCTGACTCGACACTGGCAATTTTCAGATAACGGCTCAAGACATTTCTTCACGTTTCAGAACACAGCAGGAGTACCCAGGGACTGAACAGAATAAAAATACTTGAAACAACTAAGTGAAACTGCTTACTTCTGAAGGGGGGATGGGAAAAAACCTGCACATTTTCCTCATGCCTAGCAGCGAGCAGGTAATCCAGCAGTTCTGTACTAGCATTCTCCCAGACAACCCAGAGTTGAGTGCACCACTCAACTCTGCTACTTGGATCAGACAAAGGTGAGATAAGCAGATAAAAATTCAGAAAATGAACACAGGTATGCAAGTAAAGAGTTCTACAGGGCTTTACAGGTGAGTTGTTTGAGTTTGGTTGTTTGGGGTTTTTTTTCCCTTTGCTTGTTTATTTTGATAGGTACATTCACCTCTACCAGAGGCACGACACAAAACCTAAACAGCTTATCCCTGTAGTTTTTCTATCCCAGAAGATGCTTATGCTTCCACAGACCACTCTAGAAATGAAAGCTCCAAGCCTACTTTGTGCTGCTGCACACTCCAGATACAGTTTGACAATGCTGTATCATATCTCACATGTACATGTCAATGGACTACAGCTTTTTACTTTTCAAAAAGAATCTTTTATTCAGTATGTTCCATTTTTCTTTCATACAAGAATACTTTAGCCCATTTTGGTCCAGACATTATTCCTTTTGTATTCCTCCTAATTGTAACAAATGAGATCAAAACTACACAGACAGTTTGACAAGTCCCTCAATGAGCACTAGATATGACCTCATTTGATTTCACAAGTGATTCATATCCCAGGAGACTTTGGTGTTTTAACAGGCTCAACTTCACCTGAAGTTGCTTCATCTTATGGATGATGTACTTAAGCCTGCCTCTGACCAACCTCTGCATCACTCTGAAACACTCCTAGCTTGTTACCTGCATCTCTCCTTAGCTAAAGCTCAGTATTTTAAATATCCATCCATCAAGCTGGCTTGAAAGATATTCAGGAGATGGGAGGAGAAAAAAAAGGCTCTTACCTGAAATCAAGCTAGAAGTTGCTCTACAATTTTATCTCAGTCACCTAAAGGGTAACTTCTCTAACTTTACTCCACACTAAGGAAAAGCCTGATGCAGCTTTATTTACCTAGTGCATTAATACACAGTTCACCTTGAGGATTAATTCAAAATAAAAGGTGACACTCCTGTAAAAAAATAAACTTTTACATCTAAACTTACAGGTATTGCTGCACCCAACTCTTACTAAAGCTTAAGGCCACTGGATCCTTGCAGCAGCTTGCTTGAGTACACAACTGCTGCTGTTCCATTTCAAAAGAGCAATCACAGCACTAAGGATCAGTGCTTGAAATGACATGTCCACCTCCCTGAAGGCAGTGATCCACCTCTGCTGTGCCAGAATCCTACCTGTGACTTCAGCTGGCACCACTGAGATTTTTACAATGGCAACTTACTACATGACCTCTGGCACTCAGTTTAAGACAAAAAAATGAGATTCTGAAGGTTTTATTGGCAAGTTTTTCATTATGCATGTTAACGTCCACATAAAAGGACACCCCAAAATTGCTTGATTGGCACATGAACTGAATGCAGTTGTTTTAGTATTCTGTGCAATATTTAGTTCACAGAAAATACAGACTTGCAACTGAGCCTGACTAAAGATGGAGGGCTCAGACTAAGTACTATAAAACTATACCAAGATCTCTCCTCCTGTACTAAATTTGGATAAGCAGAGGATATCATTTGACTTCATACAACTTAAGAGTGCTCCAAAGAGGAGGCGTTGCATTTATCCTCCATCACCCCCAGTTCCCATCAATCAGTTTGCAGCAGTTCTGATGCTTGTCAAACTCCTTCCCTAAGCCAATTTACGTCACTGAGCTGGCAGAAAAACAATTCAGCAAAGTGCAGTGTCTTCTGATGCATCAGTGAGTTGGATCCGCTCAACTAAGGGTCTGCAAGCAATACATCTTCAGAATGGAAATACCTGCCCAGAAGCAGCACATGGAGAGGAAAACTTCTCTGCTCTTGGTAAGAAACAGTTGTTAGAGTACATGGCCAAGCTTGCTTTCACCTTCAGTTTAAGAAAAACAAATGCTATTTTGAAGGACAGTTATAGAAAACTGAGAAAAGTGACTGCACAATAAAGGAAACAGAGAGAGCTGATACACAAGGCTGAAACAGCATTTCAATCTGTTTTGCTATATGAACATTTGTTTTATTTCACAATCTGAAAATTAAGCGTATTTGCTTAAAGCCCAGCCCTTCTGTTTTCAAAAGGAAACTCTCACTACCTCTACCCAGCCTGGCACTTTGCTCAGATCATTGTACGTAGGAATTTGCATTTTTCTTTGTTTGCAGTGATTGGTGGGGGTTTTAATGTTTGGTTAATTTTGAGCACCATCCATAATAAATGAAACCTTTTTCCTCCCTAGGTTAAAAGAGTCTCAAGAAGTTAGGAGTACTGGCTTGCTACTCTGTATTCCTCCTACCTCCATAATAAATGAAACCTTTTTCCTCCCTAGGTTAAAAGAGTCAAGAAGTTAGGAGTACCGGCTTGCTACTCTGTATTCCTCCTACTCTGAAACCCTATCCTCAGGGTCTTTCTCCCACAGCTCTTTAAAATGAGGGAGAGGAACTCAATAACAGGCACCACTGGGATTGAGAGAAGGAAGTCTTCATTTGCCAACTACCAGCAGTTTTTCAGCTGTACTCTCATACTTCCTGTAACTGCAGCATTCATCTTGATTTTCCCTCAAGCCAACTAGCACAAATTAGCTCCAAAGAACAGTGCACAAAAAAGGAATCAGTTCTGGGTTTCTAAGAGCTTCAAAAAGCAACAAAACACTGACCTGTCAATATTCACAATGCAGACTAAAAGAAACACCCCACAACCTGTGACAGGCAGATGTGTATGGTTCACAGAACACGCTACTCCACCCTCTCCATGTAAGCCAAGGGTTCAAAACAAGACAATGCTAGCCAAAAGCTACAAACTGAATGAAAAAATTAAATTTTGGGTCAGGCATTAATCAATCAATAACTTAAAAGGATTTTAAGAGTTCCTGGACTGCATTCAGAAATGCATTCCAAGCAGCAAAAAGGACACTTTCTCCTTTTTGCCATACATCAGAGCTAAATCTGCTTAAATATCTGGTAAGATTTTTATTTTTCCAACAATGGGAAAGCGAGTGCTATAATGTGATTTCAGGAGATAAAAGTCAAACCAAGGCTCCTTCAAGTCACTGCCTGGAAAAGCCCTTCCCCAAAGCTCAACTAGAAGGCCATCACACATCATCCAAGCTCTTCTTGTGTCCACTTACACTGGGACACCAATAAATTTCCTTGATAAATGCAAGATAGGGTACATTGAAAAACTCACTTAAATACCCTTCTTCACAGTGTAGAAGCAGAGTAGCTGACTTCCCCTCCCCCAATATATCAGAAAATTTTGACCTGCTACATTTATGCTCAATTTAACAAACCCAAAGAGGAGTTACTAAAATACCAAAGTTCTCCTGCAGGAAAAAACCAAACTACTCACCCTGTTATACATGTATCTAAGCATGAAGTCCAGCAAAAAAGATTTTCCTTTGCGGAAAGCTCCTGCTACAGACACAACTACTATGTTAAGATCTTTAATATGTTCCTGAAGCAAGATTTTTTCCAATGCTGATTCATCTAATTCAAAGTTATGGTCATCTTCATGAGCAAGGACAATCTGTATGGGGCGCGGCTTATCCAGTTCCACCTCGTCATCCGAGTCTGGCAGGGCATCTGAGTCTGGCAGGGCATCGTCCTCTTCTTCTTCATAAAGCTTACCTGCAAATTGACAGGGGAGAACACATTAGGAAGTCACAGCTTAGGGCAAGAAACACTTTTCTTTCATTGTGAAGCCTTGAGCTGGGCTTACATCTCCAGCAGCAGCAGGATGATGTTCCTGGGAATGCAAAGAGGTCAACAGTAGCTCCCTGTCCATTTTCATCAACTTTGTGTCTAGCCTGTATCTCAGATCTTCTCTCTTTCAGATATTCTTTATGTATTAAGGAATCACAAAAAAAGCCCAACCCTGATTTTCAGCTTCAAAACCCCTTTTAAAGGCATCTTAAGTCAAGGGCCTTTTATCTGGGGAAAAAAAAAAAATTGTTTCAAAGAAGCTTGAAAGGGGACTAAAAAAGGGCATTTTTATATCACCACGTTCTTGCTGTGAGGGTGTCAGGGGAAATTAATGTTTTCTGTCAACAGGTTTGTTTGCCAACAGGTACAAGCAAGACCATGGATCTAATATGGAAGTCCAGGATAACAAAAACCAGATGAATAAGGTCTTCTCTAATTCCAACACTGTTTCAAGTCTCAATACAGCACAGGCTTTAGAGCACCTATTCCCTGTTTGCAAGACAAACTACTGAACATGCGCATGCCCTAACGCTTCTGGGATAAGAAAACAAAAAAAGTTGAAGTAGTTTCTGGCTTCATATTCTTCCTACAATGCACTATTAAGCAAGATTTAGCAACAGTAAGTATAACCTCTTTAAAAACAGTTAAGAGACTATTTTAAACACAATTTAACAATTAATAACTTTTCAGGATAAAACAGTAGCTGAAAAAACTATAACTCAAATTAAAGTTACTAATGAATGACAAGGTAACACAGCCCTTCAAACACACACTATACCAGTACCAACATCCTATATTCCTGACTTCTAAAATTCAGGAGTTAATTGGATTAGAGGCCTAAAAGAAAACCAAACTACCCTATCCAAGGTGAAGTCCTCTCTCTTGTTCAGGCACCACAACACGGAAGTTTGTCCAATAGCAGAAATCAACTCTACCATTCCTGACTCTACTTTTCCTGGCAAGCATCTGGAAAGCTTCTTTGTGCTTACTGGATTGCCTCCCACTCCCAATTTAAATTTTGCCATGTTCTATTGGAAGCCCATGTGCAAAAACCTGACCAAGGCACCTTCCTACCAGTTACTTATCTGGGATTATCACATATGATTTTCAGTACACTGTCCTTCTAGTCATGTTTCCATTCCCAAGACAAGGCAGCAGCCACCCCCAATCCCTTGATGTGTTGCTCACAGAGAGGTTTCCTGTGGAAGCAGCCCACTAGGAGTGTTCTCCTGCAGGATGCATCCATGAGGCACCATGGAACACACAGCTTCATTCATTCATGGCAGAGAACCTGCCAGTGCTCACAGGACCTGCCAAGTCTTTCCTGCCAGACTTTGCATGTGAGATACCATTCTCAGTGAAAGTCTTATGAGCAGGGCTCCAGTTCTGTGGATGTAATGAGACACTGCAGTTATTATCATAATTTGAAAACTGGTAACACAGTGACCCCGAAGTTTCTCCAGCTATTTTCTCCTTACCCAGCTCTGACAACACCTTATTTAATTGCAAAATGACAGAGAATGTTTCCACTTCCAAGCATCAAATCTTGTGCTGTCCCAAAGCCCAATGGTATTAAATCTTGAAAAAATTGTGTTTGAATATATTACGCTTGCATGGTGCTTGGTTTGAACAGGAAGTACACTTGAGTGGTTAAATCCTAAGCAGCTAGAACTAAACTGCAACATTATGCAAGTGAGCAAAACAGTCCCCAGCATCACCCTAACTCAAAGTGACTAACACAGCAGGCCAAAAAACTGATTATACTAGCAGGCCTGACAACTGGAAGGAGTAACTTTTAAAAGAAAATCCATTAACAGGACACCAAACTATACAAACTACACTGACTGGTCACCACTTCAGAGGAAAGTCTCTCACTTTTGGCCTCAAGGTTTTGTATTCCCAGATACTAAACAAGCCCTCTCCTCTTTTTTGAAAGAGTTTCTATACAGGCTTTGCCTCATATAGGCAGGGTCCTTTGGAGGCCAGAAAATGTGAGGATAGCCCAGGTATGCAGAGACAAAGATTTTGACAATCAGAAAGAAAGCTTTCAGAATCACAGCCTACAAACATAAAGGGAATATTCTATTGATAAAAATATTCAAGTCAGATAGCTCCAAGGAGAGGTGCCTATGTTTTAGCAAACACATTCACACAATGCTTCAAAGCCTCTGCTCCAAGGTATGTCCCTGGTAGTAAGTGTAACTTGGTTACTTGGAACAGCCTCCTACTCTTTTATTTAAATACACACTTCACTTAAATACACAGCTGCAGTAAGGGATTGGGTCTGTAAACCAGGGCTGATTGAAAAATGGTCTGAAGCTGCACCTGCAGCTTCTCTTCATTCACTTGGAGCCTGACATTAACCATCCTGTACCACCTGGAAGTCATCAAAACTTGTCAGACCTCAAAGATCTCAAGCTGCAGCAGCATCCTTGTGCCAGTGCAGAGCACAGCCACACAAAACCTCTTCAGGCCAAGGAGATTTCAGAACAAACAAGTGGAATGGACCTTTATCATTAGTTATTTATAAACAAGCAAATTCTCCCTATCACAAGGAGATAGTACTATCAAGAGGTTACACAAAATATGCCCATTAAAAGCTCACGTCTTGTTAACAGCATTCTGCACCACTGAAGCTCATTAGCTCAGAGGGAACAGGAGAGAAGACTCATCCTAGACCCTACTCAACTCCTATTAGATTTCACTTACCAGCAGAAATTGGAAGTCAAGTCCAGAGCACCTAGTTGGGTTTGTTTGGTTGGTTTGGGTCAAGTTAGATTGTCGGCTTTTCTTTTTTCCTTTGACTAACTAGCTTAATATATCTAAAAGTTCCCAATCTACCTACAGAAAAGGCCATCATGGCCATCAGTCAAGCACTTTAGAGGGTGGACACCTACAGTGCTGACAGCTGTGAAAGCAACTTGATCCATCCAGAAGAGCTGGTTTGATAACTTCGTGCTTGAGTGGCAGAGAACACCCCTCCTTTCAAGATTTTGGACTAGCTGGCAATTAACAGGACACACATTGCACAGGTCAAGCATGTTAACTACAGAACAAGTGCTACTGCTTGTCCCAGCAGCATAATCAGCATATGCAACCCTGTCAGGTGAACCAGGCAGATGTCACACCCTTTTTGTTCCTTTATCCTGCCTTCTGGCTGCTCACCCTGTCACTCTGGCTAGTTGCTGTCTCAGGCAGCACTTAGGGAGTCTTTCTAGAAGACTTCAGTATCATGGCCAGAAAGGTCACATTACACTTCCAAGAATTACTTTCAGTGCAGCCTCTGGAAACAAAGGTCAGGACAAGAAACACTCCCCTTCAGAGTCCAGTTTTCTGCAAGAGCACTGCAGAAGTTCTCAAAGTAGTTCATAAAATAAACATGCTGACAGCACTGTCCGGTCAACTCAGGCCAGAAGTTTATGCAATTCAGAACTCAAAGCCCTGTCCCTTGGCTGTCCCCCATTCCTCACCTGCCCCAGCACAGTCACAGTGTACTACTTAAAACTCAGAATTTAATCTGATTTGTTCTCAATCCTACAGACTGCTCTAGGTTCTTGCAATAGTCCAGTTCCAGCAAATCAAGTATAAAAGAGATGAGTACTAACTTTAGAAGAGGTGGCATTCACAGAATGGCCACTTCTACACCAACTTCTACTACTACACTACTTCTACTTCCTAGCCTGCTGGACAGTGCTTTGGACTTGCAAAGCTCATGGCAGCATCCCTTTATAGGTCTCCATAACAATACATGTCAGTACTACTAGAGAGGCAACCAAAACAACAGACTTTTGTTGGTTTGGGGGTTTTGTTTGTTTTTTATAGTACATTTTAACACTTTGCTAAGCCCAGTTTCATCCCAGTCATGGAGTTACCAATCCAATACATTCACACAGGTGTTGGTTGGTTGAGAGGAATGTTGCATGTTCTGCACACACAACAGAGAGGCAACACTGCCTCCTGCCACAGGATTAAAGACTGATACATCCACCAAGCTCACTCATGGGGTTGATCACTATGCTATTAGAAATTCCCATGTGCACAGATCTGAACCTCAGGCTTTTAGTACATACGCAAGAGTTCTCATCTGTCAAACCATATGGCACTAGAACTTGTAGCACAGAGCTGCAGGCCCAGGAACTCCCAGCTATATTTTTCATTTTTCAAGATGTTCACCTGACCTTTGAAGTTTCTCTAGTACTGAACTAACAGACTTCAGACTAAGGTCACATCTGCTGCTCTGTCTGGAGCTGATGCAAAAAGATCATCAACTGGATGTGCCCCTGAAGTCTGCCATCCATTCACACCTACTACTGTGGCTGTTCACCAGTCAGTCCCTATGTCACTTTGGCTTCTTCCAACCTGAATTATTCCATTACAACCTGTGGGCTAATGCATGGTTCTGACTGACACAATCACTTCCTAACCCAGGTCAAACAGGATGGGACACGCAAGAGAAGCAACATTGTGCAGCAACACACAGAAGCAGATAGATTTGAATGGGAGCAAATACAGCCAAGGGAAGATACTACCACTCAGTTTTCCCCATAAACTCCTCACTCCACTCAGTAACAACTACAGCAGGACTGCTATTTATTCTCACCAGCTAAGTACCCAGAACAAGCACCATTTGTTGAAATACTAAGCCAGATTTTGAGAACAGTAGCTTCTTGTATATGCAGACAGTATTTCAACTGAACAAACCCCACTAAATAACCCATTTCTTAAGCATGAGGTAAAATGAAAAGCCAATTCCTGCTTCCCCTAAGTACACAGCCAGCAGCTGACCTACTTGTCCTGCAGTGTAAGAACACGAGTGTGAAAACACCCAGATACCTGCATGCCATGAAAATAAGAGACAGCCTGCTTTAAATGCAAATTCTTCTCTTTAAGCACTTTAATTGACAGAAAATAGTTACCTTTGAGTT